AAGTTCAAAAACAGGCAGAATTAACTTCTATTAAATGTCACAATAGTGGTTACTTTAATGCAGAAAACAGAGGTAGTGAATGAGAACAGGCACAAGGATTGATAGAGTGAAAGCAATGTTCTATTTCTTAACCTTAGTTATGTTCACTTCTGTGGTAACTTCATAGAATTGGACAGCTTTTCTGTATATGATATACTTGAATAAAAATCTTTTAAAATTTAGACTAGAGAAAAATAATAAGCAAAAAAAAATAAATAAAATAAAAAGAAGTTGGATAGTTTCCTCGTCATCATGGTCTGTTTTTGCATTTATTTGAATTTTAAAAAGTGATATTAAAATATAATCATCAGAGGGCTTCCCTGATGGTCCTGTGATTAAGACTCCATGCTTCTAATGCAGGGATCACAGGTTCGATCCTGGTTGGGGAACTGAGATCCCACCTGCTACACAGTATGGCCCCCCAATTTTTTTTTTTCTTAATTTAATCATCAGGGCCATTTCCTGGTGGCCTGGTAGTAAAGAATCCGCCTGCCAATGCAGGAGAAGTCCATTTGATCCCTGGATCAGGAGGATCCCCTGGAGGAGGAAACGGCTACCCACTCCAGTATTCTTGTCTGGAGAATCTCACAGATAGGGGAGTCTGGTGGGCTACAGTCCATGGGGTCGCAAAGAGTCGGACATGACTTAGAGACTAAACAACAATAACATCATCAGGGAGATTCCCTGGCAGGCCAGTTGGTTAAGACTTTGTACTTCAAATGTGGGGGAGCATGGGTTCAATCCCTGGTTGGAACAATAAGACCCCCACCTGCAACATGGTGCAGTCAAAAATAATAATAATGACCATTGGGACTAAGTTTTTTGGAGCACCCACCCCCCATTTAAATTTTGTGCCTCAAAATTTAAGAGAGTTCCTTGCTCTCTTCAATACAGCATGTAGTAAGTGTTAATAAATGTTCCTAGAAGGAATGGTTGCAATATATAAAATCTAGTGTTTATTCCACAATGAGGGCTGTTTCAGTTTGCTGGGGCAGTCACAACAAAATGCCACAGACTGGGTGGCTTACACAGCAGAAATTTATCATTTCACAGTTGTGGAGGTCAGAAGTCAAAGATTGAGGTATATTGGCAAGGCTGGTTTCTCCCGAGGCCTCCGTCCTTGGTTAGCAGACGCCTGCCTTCCTTCTGGCCTCCACACAGTCTCCCTCTGGGCCTGTCTTTCCACAATCTCACCAATATGACTGCCGTCACATTCAGTTAGGACCTAAAGACCTCATTTTAACTTAATTGGCTCTTCAAACCCTGTCTCCAAATAAACTCACATTCTGAGGTTCTGGGGTGTTAGGTCTTTAATATGTGAGTTGAGGAGCACACACAGTTTAGCCCATAAAAGGAGCAAACTCTTCAATGGGGCTTAATGTGCTAGGTGCTTTTTTTTGCTTTTTAATTTATTTAGTTGGCTGTGTCCCATCTTAGTTGTAGTGTGTGGGACCTTTAGTTGTGGCATGTGAAATCTAGTTCCCAGACCAGGGGTGGAACCCATGTCCCTGCATTGGGAGCACAGAGTCTTAGCCACTGGACCACCAGGGAAGTCCCTAGGTGCTTTATTTATATTAACTTCTTTAAGTTTTACAAGATCCCCAAAATTCAACAGATTCTGTTATTATTCAACATTTTATATGAAGAAGAATTTGAGGCTCAGAGAAGTTATGTAACTTGCCCAAGATCACACAGACAGTGAGGGCTGAATCTAAATTCACAATATCTGTCTTAATGTCAGCCAAATCTGAAATCCATCTAGGAAGTAGTAGTGGGGCAGAGTTGCTTCCTGACTAAACCATGCCTTTTTTATTGTGGCAAAATAGACATGACGTAAAATTGACCTTTTAAATCATTTTTGAGTGTGCAATTTAGTGTGTTCAGTACATTCACATTGTTGTGCAGCCACCTGCATCATCCATTTCCATGACTTTTCCATTTTTCCAAACTGAAACTCTGTCCCCTTTAAGCACTGACTCCCGTCCCCGCTCCCTCAGCTCCTGGCACCCACTACTTTGCTTCGTCTTTTTCATTTGTCTCCTTTAAGTAGTATAGGTACACTTAAGGCTTCACAGGTAGCACAGTGGTAAAGAATCCACCTGGCAAGCAGGCAGATAAGGGTTTGAACCCTGGGTGGGGAAGATCTCTGGAGAAGGAAATGGCAACCCACTCCAGCATTCTTGCCTGGAAAATCACATAGACAGAGGAGCCTGGCGGGCTACAGTTCATGGGGTCGTGGACAAGACTTAGTGACTAAACAGTGACAATAGGTAGAATTATACAATATTTGTCCTTTTGCTTCCAGCTTATTTCACTGAACATAATGTTGTCTTACCCATGTTGTAGCCTGGGTCAGAATTTCCTTCCTTTTTAAGGTTGAGTAATATTCCATTTGGAGAAGGAAATGGCAACCCACTCCAGTATTCTTGCCTGGAGAATCCCAGGGACCGAGGAGCCTGGTGGGCTGCTGTCTATGGGGTCGCACAGAGTCGGACACGACTGACGCGACTTAGCAGCAGCAGCAATATTCCATTAAACTGTACATTTTTAAGTCACTTGGTTCCGCCCTTATTAGCTGTGTGACCTTGGGGAAGTTAATTCTCTGAGCCTCAGTTTGCTCCTGCATAAAATAGCCCACACAAAACCCGGGGTGTGGGGAAGCTTACATGAATGAATAAATTTAAAAGGTGGTGATGGGCATCAAATAAGCCCCTCAACAGCATCAAAGGCAGATTCAAGGGGCGTGCAGTGGCTGCCTTTGGTCAGCAGGGGCCGCTGCCAGGGCCTCCGGGGGGCCTTCCTGTCTTCCCCGCGCCGCAGCATGCGCATGCGCAGCAGAGCCTCCCTGCAGAGGTTATTTTTTTCTCTCGGTTCCTCCCCGCCCTTTACCCACGCAGGTATTTATTACTGCAGACCCGGAGCCTGGCTGTGGCTGCTTTTTCTCTGTGCTGAAGCTCTGCTTCTCCCCCAGGCTTATGGGTTTGGTGGGGAGTTGTCCTCTGCCAACACCTGGCCCCATCCCTGCAGCTTCGAGATGGAACTCTTCCCCAAGGGGGTTAAAGTGTAGAAAGAGCAGTCGCTCAGTCGCGTCCGACTCTTTGCGACCCCATGGACTGTAGCTGATCAGGCTCCTGCGTCCATGGGATTTTCCAGACAAGAATACTGGAGTGGGTTGCCATTTCCTTCGCCAGGGAATCTTCCTGATCCAGGGATTGAACCCAGATCTCCCGCACTGCGGTCAGGCTCTTTACCACCTGAGCCACCAGGGAAGCCCTGTATGAGGAGGGATGTCTTGAATTTCGCCATCCTCCTTTCCCCAGCTTCTTTAACTTAGACTAAGTTAAAATTTCTCAATAAACAATCTATTCACTTGCGAGCAAATTCAACCCTATTAATGAAAACCATTGCTTTTCATCTCTGAAATGTTCTATTTTGCAAGGAGGTGCTGGTCAAGTGCCTAAGACGGAGCCTAGCACACGTTGTATGCTGAAAGCACTTTATACATTAAAAAAATTAAGATAAAACATTTATTAAGAATGGGAAGCTGGATATCCATCTGCTGAGAACGCGTCCCCCGAAGGGCGCATGCGCTTGCCTTACAAAATTAATATAAAACGTTTCTGACACGAACACAGGCGCACGTGTTTGAACACCCGGAATTGAGCTAGGGCATTGACTTTAGCTGCCTGCAGCTCTGCGTCTCGGTCGTTCAATAGATATTTAGGGAGCAGCTCCTTGCTGCCTCAGTTTCCTCCTGGGTTAAACGTGGGATAGTGGTAGTAATCTTTGATTAAATGAAATCAGGGCTGTGACCACGCTTTACAAAGCAAAATGCATAAACCCTTTGTAGAGATAGGAGAAGACAATCTTATTTTAGACTCCATATCCGAACTTGCATAGTTTTTTTACAGAGGCACAACTGTCTCTTCTCTTCCCAGTGCAGGGAAATCACTGCAGGCTCCCTTCTTTTGACAGAGTGAATTTAAAGGAAGATTTGTTGAAGGGGATTTATTTACGCTAATAAGAATATGATTACCTGATGCAAGATATACTTATGAGCGCCTACGGTGTACCAGGCATTGAGCTGGGCTCTTTATAAAGAATAAAGATCCTGAATTAAATGCCAATTCTTTCTCTCGAGTCGAAGATCTGATATACAACGGTTTCTTAGGGTCATATCAGGACACGAATACAAAATAGTGTTCCTGCGCCTCCCTCTGGAGAGAAAATGAAGTAGAAAATGAGATTGCGCATGTAGAAAAACGCCTAGCTCCCACGCTTGCGACGCAGCAAACCAGTCCCTGAAATGTGTTCTATAATGGTAACGATAACTAATTAGATATAACTGAGGTGTATTGAGGACTGTGTCAGAGTCGGTGCTAATCCCTCTACATGTATTTAGTGAATTTTACTCTCCCTCAAATAAGTAGTATTGATCATCCCATTGCGCAGATAAAGGAACTGAAGCATAGAAAAACCTGCATATCTAATGTAAGAACACTTAAAGTGATGGAGCTGATAAGGTGTTTTATTTACTGTTTTATCCACAAAGCCTATAGCAATGCCTGGCGTAGTAGACGCTGAATTTGTGGGAAAAGTGGGTGATTAATATCTGCTTTTGAAAAGGTTTTTTTTTTTTTTTTAAAGAAATAATTATAAACAGGTGATTGCAGAAATAGTACAGAGGTCTCAAGTACTCTTCTCCCAGTCCCGGACCTAGTACTGTCACTGTCATCTTACATCATATCAAACCTTAATCTTAGTACAATCCACAGACCCCATTCACATCGTAATATCCTTTTCATAGAAGTGCTTGGCAAATTTCAAAATGACATAGTTGCTAAGATATGGTTAATAGTCAGCTAAAATGCCACTCTTCCCTTTTTGCACCTAAGTATTGCATTCTGGAGGCGTGCACCCAGCTTGAGGCAACCACGCCCCCGCGAAAATCCAAGCATGGAATGCAGACCCTTGGTATTAAAGCAGCCGCGCCGCCGACTAAGGGGTTACCGGGTGGGGTGGTGGTGGTTGGGCGGGGCGGGGGGGGGAGGGTGTTCCTGCGCCTGCGCGCGGCGTCGCTTCGCTCCGCCCCCGAAGCGCGGTCAGATGACCCGCCCAACCGGCGTCGGCCTATAAAGTGTCGGGTGTTGACGTCAGCGTTCTCTTCCGCCGTCGTCGCCGCCATCCTCGGCGCGACCTAGCTTCCTCTGGTCTGCCTGGGAGAATCCACCGCCATCCGCCACCATGGTGAGCAGCGCTGTTCAACTGGGGGCCTGACACGGCAGCCAGGCCTCGGCAGGGCTGGCGCTGCCAAGCCTGGAAACCTGTGGCCTCCCTGACTGGGAGGAGACATGGCGCCGGCGGGTCTGGCGGGGCCGGGGCAGGTGAAGGGGCTGCCGCCATGTCTGCGCGCCGCACTGCTCGCCGACCTCTGCTTCCGGGGGCGCCGCCGCCTCGCGGGGTCTCGGGCCCGGCTGAAGCTGGGGCGGAGGCGGGGCGGGGGGGTATGATGATGTGGCAGACGCTGTAATGGCGGGCGCCGCACCGCGAGCCGGGAGAGGGGAGCCGCCTTATGTAATTGGCGGGTCGGGAGTTTCAGTCCGATTTTCTGTCGGGAGCCGTGGGCGTCTTGGAAATGGCTGAAGGAGAGAAGAGTAAGACCTTTAGAAGCGTCTGATCTTCTCCCGCTGTGTAGTTTTGGCCTGGTCTCTTGTCTTTCGTGAACCTCCCAATTATGAACACCTGATCCTAGAGCCACGAGGTGGAGGCTCGCGCCTGTTAGGGCTGCGCAACCCCCCTCCCCCCCAATCGGGGGGGGTATATTTACGAATCAAAGGTGGGGTGGGTGGCTCTAACTGACCCCCACAACCCCAGAGAGGGGTGACCTTCGAATTCGGAGAGCCCCTTTGGTTGGGAAGCCTCGGGTATACCAGTGGCCACACAGTGGGACACTTGAGGTTCAGCCGAACTCCACGAGACCCCCGTATCTATGTAGTGTAAAGGAAATCTGTTTTCACTTTTTGGGACTTAGTCCCCAGTTTCCGTTGAGTTGACACTTAGGTGTGACAGCCAAGATCAGGCTTTTCAGGGACAGGGTGAGTTGGACGTTTTTAAAGGGGTCTTAACAAAGAAAGGGGGATTTAGGTTGGAGTTGGCAGCACCGGGGACCAGCCCCTTTTGGCTAGGGCCTTGCAGCCTCTATTGATCAAAGTCTCTGTGCCAAGGGTCTTTAATGGAGTGCCGGCCTGTCATGACCCTCCCCTCCCCCACCCTGCCCAGGTGAACTTCACAGTAGACCAGATCCGGGCCATCATGGACAAGAAGGCCAACATCCGGAACATGTCTGTTATTGCCCATGTGGACCATGGCAAGTCCACTCTGACGGACTCCCTGGTGTGCAAGGCGGGTATCATCGCCTCTGCCCGGGCTGGGGAGACTCGCTTCACTGACACCCGGAAGGACGAGCAGGAGCGTTGCATCACCATCAAGTCAACGTGAGCAAGTCCCCTGGTGTCATCTCCACAGGGAAAGGGGTTGCTTCTTGCTCTGAGTTCTTGGTAGTGGGCAGGAAGGATAGACCTACCTGCCTTTTCCCACAGGATTCTGGGGAGAGGAGCACTTTGGAGCTGGGCTTCTGAACTAGGAGGGATGATAGAGCTTCATCTAGTGAGATGGGCACCTTTGCCTCCAGGGGAAGAGGCACAGTGATGGGTGGTAGAGTTAAGGAGGTTGGAGGGGAAGGGAGCTGGGGGCTCTTGGCAATGTCTGGGAAAGTCTGAGGATGCTATTGGCATTCGGGGTCAATGCCAAAGTCCTGCTGTGCCCACGGCAGCCCCCTGTGAGTTTTCTGACCCCAGATGTCAGGGTGAGAACCTCCCCCACTCCAAAGAAAAAGCAGTTGTCTTAATTTAGTTGTTTGTCCTTGGTCTTGCTCTGAGACTCACTTCCCTGCAGGGCAGAGAAGGGTGAAGAGTAGCCTTTGGGATGTCTAGCTCCTGTGTAGTAGCTGCTTTTTGACAACAGATGTGTCGAGCCTGGGAGGACCCAGGTGGACTCTGGTGCCAGGGAAGTGGCTGTCCCTGGCAGAGGGTGCTGCAAAGGTAAATGTTCCCAGATGCGGTGGCTCTTGTGTGGAAAGTCTTTAAGTTCATCTCTAGGGATGAGTAATGCAGGAGGAGGGGACAGGTTGCAGCATCTGCCTGGCTTTTTATTGGATCCCAGCTTCACTTAGGAATGAAGAGTGTCCATCCTGACTCCCCCTCAGTGGGAACCTGATTGACCACAGGCCAGGCTAAGGTGTGGCTTCCACCTGGCTCACCTGTCCCTATCTTTTCAGGGCTATCTCCCTTTTCTATGAGCTTTCAGAGAACGACTTGAATTTCATCAAGCAGAGCAAGGATGGCTCTGGCTTCCTCATCAACCTCATCGACTCCCCTGGGCACGTTGACTTTTCTTCAGAGGTGACAGCCGCGCTCCGTGTCACTGATGGTGCCTTGGTGGTAGTGGACTGTGTGTCGGGTAAGCAGTGGGCACCCCTTAGGACGACTTGGAATCTGGAGTTGTCCCCTCTCTGGCTGCAAGAGCCGCGTCATCCCTTGCTGGTCTGCAGGTGTGTGTGTGCAGACAGAGACGGTGCTGCGCCAGGCCATCGCTGAGCGCATCAAGCCGGTGCTGATGATGAACAAGATGGACCGGGCCCTGCTTGAGCTGCAGCTGGAGCCTGAGGAGCTCTACCAAACCTTCCAGCGCATCGTGGAGAACGTCAACGTCATTATCTCCACCTATGGCGAGGGCGAGAGCGGCCCCATGGGCAACATCATGGTAGGACGGCCTGACTGCTGGGTTTAGGGTACCTCCCTCTGCTGTGTTCCTAGTACCCCCTTCCACTTCTCCCGCGGGGCAGACTGGAAGGACTGTGGTCTTGGGCTGCCCCTGGGGAACTGCTTCTGAATCAGTGACTTCCTGGGGATTCTTGGGAGGTGGAGCTGGGGTTCCAAGGAACCTTAGAGTGACAGGAAAGCTGGACTTCTGGGGAGGTGAGGTAGTGGCTCCCCCTGCTTGCTGACAGGTGCATGGGGCAGCCCCTGTGGGATCTTGGCGCACACATCCCCTCTGGGGGTTGGGCACCTTGTACATGATGACTAAAATTTCTTCACTTTGACCTGATGGCTATTGAAGAAATCTAAGGTCTGAGGCGTGGGGTGCCCGGGGATTTTGTAACTGGTTTTTGTCCAACTATTCCAGCTAAACTGTCTCCTGTTCTTGCAGATTGACCCTGTCCTTGGTACTGTTGGCTTTGGGTCTGGTCTCCACGGTTGGGCCTTTACCCTGAAGCAGTTTGCAGAGATGTATGTGGCCAAGTTTGCCGCCAAGGGCGAGGGGCAGCTGGGGCCTGCTGAGCGGGCCAAGAAGGTGGAGGACATGATGAAAAAGCTGTGGGGAGACCGGTGAGTGTTAGAGACACAGCTCAAGTGTCTGTGGGGTCTTACCCCCCCTTCTCCGCCGCTGATTTCTTTAACTCTTGGGTTGGGTGTTCTCTGAACAGATACTTTGATCCAGCCACCGGCAAGTTCAGCAAGTCAGCCAACAGCCCTGATGGCAAGAAGCTGCCACGAACGTTCTGCCAGCTCATCTTGGACCCAATCTTCAAGGTGAGCCAGTGTAAGCTTGGTAGATACCCATTCCCAGGGTTGTCCTTGGGCTCCCCAGACAGTCTGGTACCCAACCTGCTGCAACCAATGGCAAGATACCACAAGGCAAGGCAGGGCCAGGCTGCATGTCAGCTCCTGGAACAAGGATGAGACCTCATGAGGTCACAAGGCCCTCAGTTCAACCCTGGCTAGCAGGTCTCTCACACTCTTGGGCTGCATCTTGGGGTCAGTCAGCCTCCCTGACTGGACAGCAGGTGAGGTGTGGCAGAAAGGGCTGACTATTGTAAGCCAGTGAGTTTTCAGTGAGTGTGTGCCCACTTATATAGGGTGAGTTTTAAGTCTATTGAGAGATTTCCTTGTTATTTGCTAGATTAACTCAGGCGTTTGATGGTGAGTGAGGACTTTTTTTGCAGCTTTGGCCCTGTTCCATCCATGCCCTTCAGGCTCTAGTATGTAACTGTAGACTTCAAGTATGTTCCCAAACCCACTTTGCCATCTTTCCTGCATGTTAGGTGTTTGATGCAATCATGAACTTCAAGAAAGAGGAGACGGCAAAACTAATTGAAAAACTGGACATCAAGTTGGACAGTGAAGATAAGGACAAGGAGGGCAAACCACTTCTGAAGGTAAGCGGAGAGACTCTGCCGGGAGTCCCACTTTCTTGGAGCTGCTGGTGTCAGTTTTCTTTCTGGTCTCTCACTGATGTTTCCCTCTCACATCCTCTACTCTAGGCTGTGATGCGCCGCTGGCTGCCTGCTGGGGACGCCCTGCTGCAGATGATCACCATCCACCTGCCTTCCCCTGTGACGGCCCAGAAGTACCGCTGTGAGCTCCTGTACGAGGGGCCCCCAGACGATGAGGCAGCCATGGGTATGTGGGGCCTGCCTGCACCTTGGGGGCCTGATGGTGGACAGAGCCTCAGGAGTCTGGAAAGCTGAGCTGCCATGGAATCATGTTTTCCCCTTTGGGGGTTTCATTTCTCTTCTCAGGCATTAAAAGCTGTGATCCCAAAGGCCCTCTCATGATGTACATTTCCAAAATGGTGCCGACCTCTGACAAAGGTCGGTTCTATGCTTTCGGCCGGGTCTTCTCAGGGCTGGTGTCCACTGGACTGAAGGTCCGCATCATGGGACCCAACTATACTCCTGGGAAGAAGGAGGACCTGTACCTGAAGCCGATCCAGAGGTGAGGTACTTGAAGTTAGAGGGGGCCCCAACAACCTCCTGCTTCTCCTCCATCCAGTGAAAGGGGAAGGGTGGGGTCATCTGAATGTAAGAGACCTGCCAGGGGGAGGGAAGCACCAGGAACTAGTATCCTTCCTCTAAGGATTCTCAGTGTGACACAGTCCTCAGCTGGGAAGCAGGTAGGAAATTAGAGTGATCGAATAGTTAAGGTACCTCGAGAGCAAGCCCTGACCTCAGCTGAGGGTGGCGCCCCCCAGTCACTGCTGCAGGTGTGGGACTCTTTGAGGTCCTGACTGCACTAGAATGCAGAGGCTTGCACAGGCACAGCAGCACGTTGCCTGGTCTTGGGGTGATAAGAGCCAGAACCCTCACTGAGATGTCACTGGGTTACTGGCCTCTGGTGAGCTGGCTCTGTCCCTCTAGACATGAACATAGCCATAGGCTCAAAGGAGGGAACTTTGTGCTTCCACTGCAGGGGGCTTGGGTTCAATCGCTGGTACATGCTGTGTGGTACTACCAAAAAAACAAGGGAGGCTTGTCTGGTGACTTGGGGATGTGGCACACAAGTGCTAGTGTGTTGACACCATTTGTGTTGTTGTGGTCCCCCCCCCCCCGCCCCCCAGGACAATCCTGATGATGGGCCGTTACGTGGAGCCCATCGAGGATGTGCCTTGTGGCAACATTGTGGGCCTGGTGGGTGTGGACCAGTTCCTGGTGAAGACTGGCACCATCACCACCTTCGAGCATGCCCACAACATGCGAGTGATGAAGTTCAGTGTGAGCCCTGTTGTCAGGGTCGCTGTGGAGGCCAAGAACCCAGCCGACCTGCCCAAGCTGGTGGAAGGTCTGAAGCGGCTGGCCAAGTCAGACCCCATGGTTCAGGTGGGTGGCCCTTGGCCAGAAGTGACACCTGCCACGGTGGCTTGTTGACTTGATGTGGTGTGACTGGGCTGACCTGGCAGAACTCCTTCCCATTTAAATGGTGGTTTTCCACCCAGGAATCCAACTTTGTTACACTACCAGATGGGTTGGACCCTGAGGCCCTTTTTAGAAGGTTAATGTTGAAAACTAGTAAAAATGGGCCCTGATATCTTCCCTCTAAACCCTGTGTTGGGAGTCCACCTTGTCCAGCTGGAGCTGGCTTTCCACATGTCCCCTGGAATCCCTTGGGTTACTGCATGGTCCTGGGGTCAGGGTTGGGCTGACATTTTTGCCTTCTGCAGTGCATCATTGAGGAGTCTGGGGAGCACATCATCGCAGGGGCTGGGGAGCTGCACTTGGAGATTTGCCTCAAGGACCTGGAGGAGGATCACGCCTGCATCCCCATCAAGGTGAGGCTGGCGCTGCCACGCAGTGATAGCTGGAGGCCTACATCCCCTATACCAAGAGGGCTGATGGAGTGCACGACCTGGGTGGGCTCTGAGGGGCCCGCTGGTGGGGGTCACTCAGTTCTGCTGCCTTCTGCCCCTTCTTAGCAGATAATATGTGCTGTTGTGATATCAGCTGTTGAGATGCACAGGCAGGGTTGGAGTGTGAGGGGTCTGCTAACTTCTGCTAACATAAGTTTACAAAAAAAAAACTTGTGAAAAGGGCAGACTCTTTAAGTTTCTGTAGGCGGCCCACCACCCCCAGCTGGTGCAGTCTGGTTTCCATTTTCTGCTTTTTCATAGAAATGAGCTCAGGTCTGTGTCTGCTTAGCCGAGGTTTTGGGTTTCTTTACATGCTGTTTTTCCTTGTTAAACCTTTCTAGTTATGGGAATGAGAGTTTCCGTTCTTCAGGGAATTGACAGTTGTTTCATATTCTTTTTTAAATGAAACTATACTGAAATGGGATCTTGTACTTGTATGTTTGCAGTCACTTTTCAATTAATACTGCACATATAGTTTTACCACAAGTGTTTATTTAGCCAGCCCTGTTGGCAGTGGGAGTTTAGGGAGTAGCTGCACACTTGTTTACACAAAGTCAGGTGAAGCCTGCTCTTCTCTCTACCCTCTGCTAGTGTGAAGTGGGCATCATTAGGAAGATGCGTCTCTGGGATGTCTGCTTCCTGGGGCAGACCTGACCTTGCACCTTCCTCTTCCAGAAATCTGACCCAGTTGTCTCATACCGGGAGACTGTCAGTGAGGAGTCGAACGTGCTCTGCCTGTCCAAGTCCCCCAACAAGCACAATAGGCTTTACATGAAGGCGCGGCCCTTCCCTGACGGCCTGGCTGAGGACATCGACAAGGGCGAGGTGTCCGCCCGCCAGGAGCTCAAGCAGCGGGCCCGCTACCTGGCTGAGAAGTACGAGTGGGATGTGGCCGAGGCCCGTAAGATCTGGTGCTTCGGCCCTGATGGCACGGGCCCCAACATCCTCACGGACATCACCAAGGGTGTGCAGTACCTCAATGAAATCAAGGACAGTGTGGTGGCTGGCTTCCAGTGGGCCACCAAGGAGGTGAGGGGGTGCTCAGGTACAGCACTGCAGGGCCAGTCAGCGGGTGAGGTGGGATTGTGTGTGGTCTTGGAAACAAGACAGCTGTGGCCAGCCTGTCCCTCAGCTGCTGTGGAGGTGGGTTCTTAAGACGGTGGTCCTCCTTCCTCCTCAGGGGGCGCTGTGCGAGGAGAACATGCGGGGGGTGCGCTTTGATGTCCATGATGTGACACTGCACGCTGATGCCATCCACCGTGGGGGTGGCCAGATCATCCCCACGGCTCGGCGCTGCCTGTATGCCAGTGTGCTGACTGCCCAGCCCCGGCTCATGGAGCCCATCTATCTTGTGGAGATCCAGGTAAGGGGGCTGGGCCAGGAACCCCCAGCTGCTGTTTCGGGTTCTATCCTGCCCAGCAGCCACTCAAGAGCCCTTTTTTGCCCGACAGTGTCCGGAACAAGTGGTTGGTGGCATCTACGGTGTCTTGAACAGGAAGCGGGGTCACGTCTTTGAGGAGACCCAGGTGGCCGGCACCCCTATGTTTGTTGTGAAGGCCTACCTTCCTGTCAATGAGTCCTTCGGTGAGTACCAGTCTGGTGTGGTCCTCAGATGCCCGCTGCCTTCAGGATGGAGCCCAGCAGACATACAGCTGTGGCCCATCCTTTCTTATCATGATGGGAGCTGCCTACTGCAGTTTTCTGCAGCACACTTGTGAAGGAGGGGGTGACTTATTTCTCTCACATGTGGGTCTCAGGACTGTTGATTTAGTGGAGAGGCCTTGGCCTGTGGATCTAAGCACAGCCACAGAGCAGCTGTGCTGGAGATCTGGCTCATCCTCAGAAGGTGCAGATAGAGGCGTGGGGCCCAGGAATGGGCAGCCCTGCCTCCCTCTTTAATCAGTAGCCCTTGAGGGAACCTTTGGGTGAGGTGTAGGGTAATGGGGTTAACATCTAACATGACTCTGGGACCCTCTGGTGTGAGTCTGTGTTTCTGGTCTCGGCCAGGGGACTGTGAGGCACATACCTGAGCTTCCCAGTGAGCACTGTTTGCCCCTTCTGCAGGCTTCACTGCTGACCTGAGGTCCAACACGGGCGGCCAGGCCTTCCCCCAGTGTGTGTTCGACCACTGGCAGATCCTGCCCGGTGACCCTTTTGACAACACCAGCCGCCCTAGTCAAGTGGTGGCGGAGACGCGCAAGCGCAAAGGCCTGAAAGAAGGCATCCCAGCCCTGGACAACTTCCTGGACAAGTTGTAGGAGGCCTCTGCTCAGCCCGCCATCGGGTGGGACTCGGCCCGGCCCTCGCGCCCAGGGACAGTGACCACAGCAACAAGCCCCCACATTCTCCACGACACCTCGAGGCTGTCCAGACCCAGTAATGCTCTGCCTGACAGGTTTCTGGGGCCCACTTCGTGCCATCGCTCAACATGAACACTTGATGCCGTTTCTTTCTATATTTATTTCCAGATTTCAGGGGCAACAGAAGTGCCCTTGCAGCAGGGACTTATCTGGCCGGTGGGGATGGGGGAGGGGATGGGACAACCAATACTTTTTTGTTGAGAGGGAAACAATGTCAAAAAAAAGTTAAAAATAAATGCATTAAGAAGTTTATTTGGGTAAATGGCCCGTAGTGGATTTTCCTCCAGAAAGGGGGAAGAAACAAGCGGGTAGATGTTCTTTTTGGACAGAAGCTAGAAGGCAGGAAACCCCTCCCACACAGTGTCACTGAGCACCTCCAGCTGTATTAGTGCCATTGGAATAATAAACTTGACATGGTGGAGATTGTGTGTGTGTGTGGTCTTTCTTCATCTGCTCAGGCTCCAGTGGACTCCCTGGGCCAGTGAGCAAGGCCATTGGTGATATTCCAGTACAGTGTTGAGTGTCACCTCCAAGTGACAGTCCAGGAGTCCATCTGTCACACAGCCAGCCAGTCAGACATCTGTGCCCCAGAAAGGGGCAGCCACTTTGCCCATGGGTCCTATAAGCATTAGAAATGGGAGCAGTGTGCTTCAAGAACTGAGTGTTTAAATATTGGGTTGGCAAGAAAGCTTACTTGGAGTTTTCTGTAACATGTCAGGGAAAAAACCTGAAGGAACTTTTTGGCAAACCCATTATTTACATAGTTGACACTGGTGGTGCTGTAGCAGGCAGTGCAGTCTTGGAAGATAGCCTGTGTGCTCACTTTGGACCCATCCAGACTTCCCTCGTGGTTACTTCTATGCTGTTTGTTGCTAAGTTGCATCTGATTCTTGCAACTGCATGGACTGTAGCCTCCCAGGCTCTTCTGTCCATGGGATTTCCCAGGCAAGAATACTGGAGTAGGTAGCCATTTCCTTCTCCAGGGGGTTTTTTCGACCCAGGGATGGAATCTTAGTCTCCTGTGTAGCAGGTAGATTCCTTACCATTGAGCCTCCTGGTGTTAAGTGTGAAGAGGGAGGAAGAGTAGAAACCTGGTGAATATTGCCTAGGACCAGATGACCAAGGTCAACATCAGTGGTGAGTCCTCATGATGGTATGGCACCACATGGTCTTAAAACTCATCCCTTCAGTTTAACTGTGAGAAAAGACATTCACATTGAGGGAACAGACCAATCTTCAAAACCTAGTCATCAAAACCCCTGTAAATGAGACTCAAAAAGCACAGAGGAACCTAAGGAGACAAATGTGAAATGATCCTGGGATAAGAAAAGATGGGAGAGTCTAGTAGGGAGTGGTTAATAATGTGTCACCTGGTTCTTGAGTGGGGACAAATGTACCAGATTAATGAGAAAATAATAGGGGAAAGTGAGTGAATGTGAGAGAAAGTGCTGCTTTAGCTGTGAAATGTGCTTTGGGTTTAGTGGAGGAAGGTGGTCCCCAGGCAGGAAGAAGAGTTTTAGTGTTGGCGCTTAAGCGAGGATGAGGTGTGAGGCGAAGAAGGCAAGTCGTGAAGTGAAGTGGAATTGCATGAGGTTGGGACTATCGTGACCAGAGGATGGCCTGTGTCAGACGGTATCTGAAGTGGTTCAGTGTGGGCTTTGGGTTCAGGCCTCTCTGGGAAGGAATCTCGGTTAATGCCTTTACTGGCTGTGTGCCTCTGGGTGGGTTACTTTACTCTCTCTGGGTCTGTTTCCGTAAGTCTAGAACTAGTAAAATATTTTACTTCACGTTGTTGATTGGTATGCAGTAAGGCTCAATCAATGCTAGTTCTTATGTATCTTAAGCCTAAAAGGAGTCATAAAACAATCCTCAAGCATTTAATGGCAACACCTATCCGTTTGCATCTTTATATATTTGCAATATGGCTAACAGCTTCCCAGGTAGCACTGGTGGTAAAGAACCCACCTGCCAATGGAAGGTGACTTGAGGTTTGATCCTTGGGTCGGGAAGGTCCCCTGGAGAAGAAAATGGCAACCCACTCCAGTATTCTTGCCTGGAGTATCCCATGGACAGTGGGGACTGGCGAGCTATGCAGAATCGAATACAACTGAAGCGACTTAGCACCCCTAACATTTTACAGAGGAGAAAACTTCCTGGGACTGAAGCAGCCCCAGGGTCCGCCTCAGGAGCTGTCATGAGAGAACTGGGCATAGGATTCGCGTATTTCACGCCCAAGGAAGGCAGGAATAGGGATGCAGGACTTCAGCATCCTACTTCCCAGCTTCAGGACCCCGGTCAGAGGAGAAGGGGCGGGGCGGTTCAGGGACCGGAAGTCGGGAAGCCGACTTCCGTAAATTTGACCGACGTTCTTTACAGCCAATCAGCTGTGGGAGGCGAGCCTGTACCAAACGTGAGGCCTCATTTTGGTGAGGAGACCGGACGCCCGAGTTCGTGGGCCTGAAAGGAGGCGGTGGGCGGGAATTCACGAGCGGTGTGTGTGCTGACCAATGGGCAGTGGGATCCACCTCTCGGGGGCGGGCTCTGGCGGGCGCGGTGACGACGCAAAGGTCTGCGCGTCGCGGCGGCTGAGGCAGCGGGGCCTGAGGACGCGGCGCCCGCCAGCGCGGCTGAGGGACAGGTCCGCGGTGCGGGGCCGAGGGTGCGGAGCGGACTTGGTCTGAGGATGCCGGGGGAGGGGCTCCTGGGGCACTTAGTAGGGGGGACGTTTGGGGATCCATGGGATGACTGGACGGGAGAAGGATCTGGGCCGGGGCCTGTGAGGGGCGTGGCGGCCTCTGGGACGCTGGAGCCGGGACGTTAGGGGTTGGGGGCATCTTGGCGTCTCTGAAGGAAGCCGTAGGGGTCTGCCTTGGAGCTTGTGAGAAGGTTGGGGGCGAAGGATCATGGAGGAGACTCAGATGTGGCCCTTTGCGGGGTTCCGTTGAGGGTGTGGAGCTTGGGGCGGGGGCCTTTGAAACTTGAAAGAGGTGTCTTCGAGGAAGGGGGAGGAGGAAGTTAACTTTGCTAGCACGGCGGAGGTCAGAGGGAGCAAGAATGGGTTAGGGCCTTGGAGGAGCTTGGAAGCCATTGTCCGGTTCCTGGGAAATTCAGGAAGGCGGGGGCAAGAGATGGGGAAGCCCAGCACCGCAGAGGGTCTTAGAGACCAGCCGAGGAGGGGAGGGCATGTGGGGGCAGTGGGTAAGGAGGAGGAGGGGTTAAGCTTGCTGAGGGACAGGGAGATGGGAGTGTGTTGGAAGTCTGGCAGACAATCAGGGTGTCCCAGGGTTTGGGGGTGTGAAGAGTGTGGGAGAACTTACAGGAATTTGGGGGCTATGGATGAGATTGGGAGAAGCCTAGAAGGAAGAGGCAGAAAAAGACTGGGGTGTTGTGTGCAGAACTGCAGATCTATGGCTCCTGGGAGTTATGGGGGTGTAAGTGGCACAAGCTGGGCTAACACCGACCCCTGGGGCAGTGTGGTGTCTGAATGAGATGACACATGAAAGTGCCCCGCCCACCAAATGCAAGTGCCTTCCACCGGGAAGGTGGAATTTCAGCATGGTGGATCTGAAACCTATTTGGGGGATGCTGATCGATCCTTTGACCCAGAAGTAATGACTGGCATCTAAGTCCTTTGCTATTTCTCTGTCTCCTCCAGAGTCACGGCGAGAGGACTCCGTGAGGTACTATTCCCAGACCACTGACCAGGTTTGTACTGGAGTAGAAGACGCTGGAAGGCAGACCGGCCACCATGTCAACATTCAGGCAGGAGGATGTGGAAGACCACTATGAGATGGGAGAGGAGCTGGGAAGGTGAGCAGTCACCTCTGATGGGGCCCTGAGGAGGGGGAGACCCGATCCACTGTGGGGTCTTCTGGGGTGTCTCCTCTCCTCCTGTCCTTTCTCCTGCTCTCCCCAAGCAGGGATTAGTCAGTATCATGGGCTGTGGGATGACTTTGGGCTTTGGAGGCAGCCAGTCTGGGCCTGGAATTCTTGTTCCGACATCCCCTGTGCACTTCCTTTGGGATTAAACATGATCAAGTCCAGACAGCACCTAATACAGTGCCTGGCCTATGGCATGAGAACAGTAGATGTTGGTAAAGGTCTGTCTGTGTCTTTAAACCTCTCTTGTGGGAGGTGGTGGAGCCTCCCAGGCCTCCTGTCCGGGCCCACACCCTGGCCCATTGTTAGCATTCTTGTGGGAAAGAACAGAGGTTTCCCAATCCAGCCAGGCAGCTGATTTCCTGCCAGGCCAGGCCTGGGAGCGTCCCCTGGGAGCTCTCCCGCCTCAGACCTGCCAGCCACCATCCTTTTTTCTGCCGAGCCTCAACCCTTATTTGGTGAGTTTGTTGCTGGCTGGCCTTCCCGGAGCCGCCTTGGCCGGCCCCATGATGTCACCAGAAGGGAATGTAAATAACTGAGCTGTTCATCAGGCCTTTGCTGAGAGAGCCTGTGGGGCTCATTTCGGATTCTGAAGTCCCTCCTTTAGGAATTTCCTCTGGTAGAGAGGCAGGGAATGCAGGCCATCTCCTCCACCCCCACGGAAATCTCAGACTCTATTATTGAAAATGTTAGGGCCTTCTGCTGAGAGTAGCTGGGCAATAGTCAGTAAAGCTATCATGTATGTTCCCTTTAACCCACTGATTTCACTCACAGGAGTTAATTCTGTGGGTATAGCATATATGTAGACCTAAGATCTAGCGGTGGGGAGAGTCACTGTAAGGGCTTTATGTAAGCAGAAGATGGGGCCTTTTCAGTGACCATCACAGCACCACTACCTTGTCAACAGAATATTATGCAGCCATTAAAAAGAGCATGGCAACTTATATAAAGAAATTTTATTGAAATTCTCTAGTAGCTGTCAACTTTAATAATTTTATTATAATGTGTTTTATTTAACCTGTTAGGTCAAACTATTATCATTTTGGTTGTCATTCATTATAAAAATTATTATTATTATTAAAAAAATATTTATTTATTTGGCTGCTCCAGGTCTTAGTTGCAGCACTCGGGATTTTTTTTAGCTGTGGCATGCAAGATCTAGTTCCCTGACCAGGGATGGAACCCAGACCCCCTGGATTGGGAGCGTGGAGTCTTGGCCACTGGACCACTAGGGAAGTTCCTATAAAAATTTTCAGTGAAATAGTTTACTACCTGTTTTTGATGTGAAGCCTTTGAATTCGGGTGTGTCTTGTATGCTTACAGCATACCTCAGTTTGAATGGGCTGGACAGCTTCCGTGTGGCCAGTGGCTGTCATCATGGACAGTGCTGCCCTATGTAATGATCCAGAACATTCTTAGAGACACACGAGGTGAAGGATTAATGCCACTGAACACTGTGCATACTGTGCTGCAACTGTAGAACTTGTAGATGTTGTTTGGCCATCTGAGTCCAGGGCTGTTTTTTGTCACACTCCCATTCATCTGTGAAAGGCTCTACCAGGCAGGACAATTATCATCCCCATTTTGTGGATGAAGAAACTGAGGCTCAGAGCAGGAAATCAGCTTGCCCAAGGCCATGTAGACTGAAGGTGGCCAGGCAGGACTCAGACCTTGAGATTAAGCCCTGCTGATCGCAAAGCACAGGTGTGCTGGAGCCAGAGGTGGGCATCTGGCTTCTGCTTTGAGTTAAGCCCAGCCTAGTTTCCTTGTCCTGGGAGTCATGGGCTGAATAAAATGGGAGTGAGTATTTTTGTGTGGATGTGTATGGAGGGTTCTCCCAAGTCAAGTCACCTGGGCAATCTTGGGAGATAAATTAGTCTGTGGTTGGTCAGTGTGGACGTCAGCCTGGTTTCTGTGTCACGGAGTGTGTCTGCATTCGTCACCTCAGGCTGCTGGAGGCTGGACATCAAAGATTAAGGTGTCGCAGGCTTGGTTCCCTCTGAGGCCTTTCTCACTGGTATGTAGATGCCCACTTTCTCCCCGTGTCCTCACATGGTCTCCCTTTGAGCGCATCTGTGTCCTAACCTCCTCCTCTTATACGGACCCCTAACCCTGTTGGTTTAGGGTCCACCCCAGTGACTTCTGGCTTCCCTGGTGGCTCAGTGGTAAAGAATCTGCCGCCAGTGCCAAAGATGCAGGTTCCATCCCTGCGTTGGGAAGATTCCCTGGAGGAGGGAATGGCAACCTGCTCCAGTATTGCCTGGAGAATCTCATGGACAAGAGGAGCCTGGCGGGCTACAGTTCATGGGGTCACAGAGAGTCAGACACAACTGAGCAACTGAGCACCAGTGACCTCATTTTTAGTAAATTACATCTTCAAAGGCCCTAAATCACAATAGTCAGATTTGGGGGTCCTAGGGATTAGGATTTTGGGGGACACAGTTTAGCACTAATAGTGTCTTTGTTTCCCTTCCCATGAACTCTTTTTTTTTTTTTAAAGAGAATATATTATTTATTTGGCTCTGCCAGGTCTTAGTTACAGTTGCAGCACGTGGGATCCTCGAACTTCATTGCAGCATGTGGGATCTAGTTCTTAGACCAGGGCTTCCTGCATTGGGAGTGCAGAGTCTTAACCACTAGATGACCAGGAAAGTTTCACCTCCCCCCTGCCGTGAACTCTTTGTTAGTTTTTTGGTTCATCTTAGAATAAAACTAGAGGGGAAGAAATCCTTGTATTTGAGAATTAGGACACACATTCAGGCCTAGAGTGTTCCTAATAGGCAGCAAACACTCGGCATTCGATGTCATTACTGTCGGAGTGTCATTGTGGGGTGGGAGGTGGACCTGGAAGAATTTGCTTGGTTGGTGTAGGCAGAGGGGAGAAGGAAAGACATTTCAGAAGTGAAGAATATTAGCTAAGATGTTGATGAGGGCAGGAGCACAACGTACCCAGGGGACCGTTGTGGTGGATTTAAGGGATTGGGGGGAGGCCTGATCAGGGACACTTGACATTTCTCATCTGACTGTGCTCTTGGCTTTTAAACTAGTGTATGAGTTTCCTGTTGCTGCTATAACAAATTACCACAAGTTAGTGGGTGAGAAGAATACCCATGTTTTACGTCAAGGTCTGGGAGTCAGGAGTCTAACATGAATCTGCTAGGCTGGTCCCTCCAGAGGCTCCTGCCTCTTCCAGCTTCTAGAGGCGCTGCATCCCTGGCTCGCGGCCCCTCCTTCCATCCTCACAGCCAACAGCGCAGCATCTCCCGTCTCTCTCTGCCTCTGACCCTCCTGCCTCCCTCTTATGAGGACCCTGTGATGACACTGGGACCACTGGGGAGTCCAGGGTCGTCCCCATCTCAGGGGCCTTAATTCTGTCTTCAGAGCCCCTCTGAAGGGGGCTCCTTGAGGTGACACGCCCATAGGTCCCGGGGATTCTGATGTGGACCATTATTTAGCTCACCTTGATTGGTGATAATTTGCACTTCCCACCTGCCTACGTTGACCTTACCTGCCTGAGTGGGCACAGAGCATGTCTGCAGCAGCCTGCTATGGTGCCTTTGTGCTTTGATGCTCCCGTGTATAGCAGCTTTAGATGCTTGCCAGCTGCACCTGGTACTGAGTGTCCTAGTAAGGTCCGCTTACTGGGTTCCTTGGGTTTTCTGAAGACCCGACTGGCTGGGCAAAGACACCCTCACTCATCTGTCTCTTGTTCTGCCTGTCCTGTCTGTGCTATCACCAGCTGAGGAGACCCCCCTGTCCCCAGGGCCCATCTCTGCCACTCCTTCCTCTACACACTTGGTCCCATTTCTGTGAGTTGTCACATAGTCACCTTGTCTCCTTTCTCTTGACCCCTGGGGGTACCTGGTTGAGGTCTCTTGTGTGCCTTCTGTCTTAGACTTAGTCTCTACTTTCACGTGACCCAGTGACCCATAGCCAGTGGGCCACATCCAGCCCTCGCCTAGTTCAGTATGGTCCACTCATGAACGTAGGATGGTTTTTTACTTTTTAAAAGGGTTGTAAAAACACACACAAATTGTGACAGAGACCATATGGCCTGTAAAGCTTAAAATAATTATCCTCTGGCCTTTTTCACTCAACTCCTGAGTGAAAGCAAGTTAACATAGCTAAGTTCCTAGACAGCAAAAGAATTTGGACATTGGACAGCTCCCTGGAGGACAGTAAATAGTTTCTCTCTTTCTCTTCAAATAACAGCTGTCTTGAGATATAATTCACACACCATACTGTTTACTCTATTAAACTGTACAACTTAACAATCTTCCATATATTCACAGTTTTACAACCATCACCATTAAATAATCTCAGAACGTTTTTGTCATCCGAAAAGGAGCCCAATCCCCATGGTCAGTCACCCTCATCGCCTCCTCAGCCCCTGACAACCAGAAATCCACTCTCTGGGATGTTTCCCATCAGTGGCTTATACACTGAGTGTCCTTTGGCATCTGTTTCTCTCACTGAGCATCATATTCTCAGGGTCCATCCACATTGTAGCAAGTGTCAGGGCTTCACACCTTTTCAGGACTGAGTAATGCTCCTGTGTGTGGAGGGACCACATTTTGTGTATGCTCTATCCCCTGATCAGCATTTATCTCTACGTTATGACTGCTGTGAATGATGGTGCTGTGAACATTTGTGTACAAGTTTTTGTAGAGTGGAATTCCTGGGTCTGAAGGTAATTCCATGTTTTGCCTTTTAAGGAACCTGCAGACAGTTTTCACCACAGCTTCCCCATCTGGCTTTCCCCCTCACTGTGCACCAGGCTTCCAGTTTCTCCATAGCCTCCCTCCTCTCTTGTTGTGAAAACATGTGTGCTTCTTTCACTCTGAAGCCCTTTTGAACTCAGTGGCTTTTTATCTTTTCTTAGATTTTAAACTGTGATGAAATGTGCTGTGAGGAGTTGAATCATATAGAATCATATCAAATATTAATAAAAAGAAAAAACCCTTCTTCACTGCCTTCAGTCCCGCTCTTCAGAGACATCTGCTACTCACAGCCGGGCATGTGTCCTTCAGACCTCTTACCCGTGGCAACCTCTTACATGTCAGCATACCTCTGTATGTGGGATAACATGTACCTTTCTTTTTTTTGATTAATTAATTTTTGTCTGAGCTGGGTCTTCGTTGCTGTTCAGGCTTTCTTTAGTTGTAGTGAGTTGGGGCTACTCTCTAATTGTGGTGCATAGGCTTCTCATTACAGTGGCTTCTTTTGTTGAGGAGCACTGGCTCTAGGGCACCTGGGCTCAGTAGTTGTGGCACTTGGGCTTAGTTGCCCCATGACACGTGAGATCTTCCTGGACCAGTAATTGAACCTCTGACCCCTGTATTGACAGGCGGATTCTCAACCACTGGACCATCAGGGAAATCCTGTACCTTTCTGTTTTACCCAGAATAACCTCATTCCTTGTGTTCCTCTGCTGCTGTCTTCACTGAGCGGGTCTTCATGGGGGTCTGTCCTCTCAGCGCCTAAAGAATCGTCTTTCAAGACTGCATAAAATTCCACCTGACTTGCCATGATAGGGTCCAGCTTCATTTTGGTAAACATGGAACCATGTTGGTTCTTTCACTGCTGCACACACTCTGGGCAGCCACTGTGTTCAGTGCCAGTTTGTGCTCACGTGGAGCACTGCTGCCAGGGGTGCATTCTTGAGGTGGTTGGGACGCACTGTCCTGGGAAGTGGCCCAGGTCCCCAGAGTCCTGCGTCTCTCTCAGCGCCTGCTCCCTCCTCCCGTCCCTGCAGCGGACAGTTTGCAATTGTGCGGAAATGCCGGCAGAAGGGCACCGGGAAGGAGTACGCGGCCAAGTTCATCAAGAAGCGCCGCCTGTCGTCTAGCCGCCGGGGAGTGAGCCGAGAGGAGATCGAGCGGGAGGTGAACATCCTGCGGGAGATCCGGCACCCCAACATCATCACACTTCACGACATCTTTGAGAACAGGACGGACGTGGTGCTCATCCTTGAGCTGGTTTCAGGCGGCGAGCTCTTCGACTTCCTGGCTGAGAAAGAGTCGCTGACCGAGGACGAGGCCACCCAGTTCCTCAAGCAGATCCTGGATGGTGTCCACTATCTGCACTCTAAGCGCATTGCCCACTTTGACCTCAAGGTAGCCCACTGGGCCCGCAGCACAGAGCCAGGGAGGGGCCTGGCCAGCGTGGGTGAGGACGGGGCTGAGAGGGTCCACTTCCCTTCTCCCAGGGTGTCCCTGCTGGGGTCGTTGAGGAGATGGATGGCTCTGGGCTGGACCTGTGGAGGGGAGTCAGCCCGCACACACCCCACATGCTGGGCTGGGCCAGTGCTGTTCCCTGAGACATGGGGCCAGCAGCAGCAGAGCCCCCTGCCTTCTCCCCCCACCAGCCAGAAAACATCATGCTCCTGGACAAGAATGTGCCCAATCCACGGATCAAGCTCATTGACTTCGGCATTGCCCACAAGATCGAGGCAGGGAACGAGTTCAAGAACATCTTTGGGACCCCAGAGTTCGTGGGTGAGGATTGGGTGGGCCTGGGGGCATTGGAGCATTTCCAGCTGGCTTAGGGGGAGGCAGGTCCCCTAGACCTCAGGTTTCCCATCGTGCCCTAGCGCTGAGCATCGAGGACTCAAGGCCTGGGGCAGTCACCACCTTGGCTTTCCCTGCCAAGAGCCGGCCGTGTCTGTGGGCTCTGCTACTCCTCTGGGTCGTGTCCAGGGTGCCCCCTTGGGCACATCCAGCACCTGACCCTGTCTCTCTGTCTCTGCAGCTCCTGAAATCGTCAACTATGAGCCCCTGGGTCTGGAGGCAGACATGTGGTGAGTGAGGGTGGTGGGCCCAGGGCCACCTTTGTTGCTTCTCCTCAGGGAAACCTCCTCCTGGTCTTGGAGCCATGGGGCAGGGGCAGCACAGACTGTTGTCTTAGGACAGGGGTTGCAGACCTCTCCCGGCCTGTGAGCTAGGAAGGGTTCTCGGGTCTTTGAAGGGTTGTTAAAAACAGATAAATGTGTGACGGAGACTGTTTGTAGCCCGAAAAGCCTGAAACACTCACTGTCTCACCCATTACATTAATAGAGTTTGCCAGGTCTGCCCTCAGCCATGGAGGCCTCAAGAGGCTCCACATCTGCGTGGTCTGTGGTGCCTTTGTGCTGTGTCTACGCTGCCCACACCCCGGCCACCTTGAGTCTGGACAGGCAGCCATGGTCAGAGGTGCCTGTGTTCAGTCCTCAGACCCTTGGAGCAGAAGGCGGGACTTGGTGGGGGCTGTTCAGACCCTGGAGGGAGAGGGTCCCTGGGGCTGGACAGGCCTGCCCCCCACCTGGCTAGACAGTCTTGGACTCGGGGGGTTGGGGTGCTGAGCCTGCGGCTGAGCTGACCCCATCTCTTCTGTGTGTTCTCCTCCAGGAGCATTGGCGTCATCACCTATATCCTGTGAGTACCTGCCCTCCCAGGGCTTTGCTGGGTCAGGAGGAGGGTTGGGAGGCTTCTGTGCAGGGGTCACAAGTGGAATGCAGGACCCTCAGTGCGCTGACCTGTTGCAATGCTCAGGGACTCTGGATGGATGGACAACTGTGTGAGAGTGTGCAGGAGAGAGTGTGTTCAGGAGAGTTCCAAAGACAGGGCTTCACTGTGTGAAGTAACCACGTGAGGCTCTGGGCCGGGACTGTTGTCCCCTTGTCCTTGGGCTGGCAGCTCCTCGGTGCGGTGGAGTCAATCACAGGCCTTCGGAGATGGACTCAGCCTCCAGCCCCTCTTTCTGGAGGTTGGAGGCAGGATGAAAGTTCATCCCTCTGACCCCACTGCTCTGCCCCAGCTGGCAGCCCTCTCTTTAGGGCCTTTCCACAGTCACCTCATTGGTACCAACTCGCGTGTGGCTGGAAGGGGCTTGTCATGAGCAAGAAAAGACACTTCTTTTATCTCTATTGTCTGGAGTTGTTTTAGGAAATGAAACAAAGACCAAATATTATAGCAATAGATGCTCCTGCCTTGGGTTTTAGGAAGTTACAAGGGTTTTGTGTGCCTGCAGTTGGGAGTGAAAAAAGCTATACATATTTCTCACCTAAAAAGTCACAGCATCACATGCCCAGATCCGTGCAGGTTGGTGGTGTGGCCTCAGCGCAGCATGCTGGAAAGACACCTGACATCTGCGGTGTTGGCCAGGAACCCCCAGCAACCCCCCAACCCCACCTCCAGTTAACCATTTTGCCTCTAACTACTAAGGGCTTCAGGGAAGGGGCTTTGAGACCAAGCCCCTAAGACTAAGTTTATGGGGATACTTTGAGGTTTTGCAGAGATTTTGCTGACTCATTTTAGCACCCGTCACTGGCTGGGCAGTGGATTTTCACTGCCTCTGGTTGGCGGCTGGGTGCATTTGTGCAGGGTGGCTGGGGGCCTGGCATCAGCCTTCCTTCCCATCTGCCCCCTCCATGGGCATAGCGGAGCTGGGTGCTGGCCTGGGCAGCAGCCTGGTCGTGGAGTGACCGCAGGCCTGTCTGCCCCACTGAGCCTGGTGTCCGTCTCCTAGCCTGAGTGGCGCGTCCCCGTTCCTGGGTGAAACCAAGCAGGAGACCCTGACCAACATCTCGGCTGTGAACTACGACTTTGACGAGGAGTACTTCAGCAATACCAGCGAGCTGGCCAAGGACTTCATCCGCCGGCTACTTGTCAAAGACCCCAAGTAGGAGCACTGGGCCGGGCAGGGTGGGCCAGGCAAGTCCCCCAGAATGGGCACTGTGGCCAAGGACAAGTAACGTGTCCATCTGAGATGCCACTCCTGTACCTGGAAGTCGGCCGTGGCTCCTGTTTTGGGCGGAGATAGCACAGTGAGGCCTAGGCTGGCCCTCTTTCGAAGCTGCTTCTTACAAAGCTTTTCATTTGTTGCCAGTGTTTAGGATAGGAGGCTTCATATAAAATTCTAAATTAATGTTTGGTTTTTTTCCCTAGAAAAAGCTAAATATGCTGGCAGCACAGAGCTTTCATTCACCCAGAGGTGCTCCCATGGGCTAGTCTTCCCCAGGCTCCTCATCTGGGTGTCTGAGTTATGAGACCCCCAACATTAGGTGTCAATGCTGTTAGCGGAAAACATGGAAACCCTGGAGTCCACGTCCCCAAGTCCCTTGATGGGCTCCTTATGGCCAGCCAAACAGAGTGGGAGACCTTTATTGTGCCTCTGCTAGCACGGTTGTTTCAGGAACTTGCTGCACAGTGACTTCAGGGACCAGGTTTCAGGCCGGTGGCCCAAGGGAGGTGTCCTGAGTCAGCCATAGGTGGGGCTGAGAGCCAGAGCTGCAGCGGGGAGCACGTGGACCACCCCTCCCTGCTCTGTGTGGGGAGGACAGTGAAGGCGGCACACATGCAACTAACCAGTTCTGGGGGCTCTTCCAGGAGGAGAATGACCATCGCCCAGAGCCTGGAGCATTCCTGGATCAAGGTGAGGTGGTGGGGCTGCCCCCACATAGGCATGGCAGTTGGGACCAGCCCCCAGCATGGGCGAGGGTCCCCACGGGAGTGGGCCCAGATGCTGTGGGCATAGGGTGTATGTCAGTGTAGTGTCAGAGTTGTCTCATTGAACTGTTGGCTGGAGTCCATGGGTCCTCTGCACACAGCAGGGTGCCCTCCCCAGAACTCAGAAAGTGATCACCTCCAGGCCGAGGTCAGACTTGGCAGCCTCAGTCAAGGGTCAGAGAGTGAATACTTTTGGCTCTGTGGTCTCTGGTGTTACCATGTGGTCTGCCATCAAGTCTCAGCTCAACCCGTGGGAAAGTGCCAGGACCATGTGTACTTAGATGGGCCGGGCTGTGGGCCAATATAACGTGGGCGGAGGGCCAGACATGGCCCTGGGGGGCTGCCCTGCTGGCCCTAGTCCAAGGTGCCCTTTCCTCCCCTCCTCTCCCGCTGCAGGCCATCCGGCGGCGGAATGTGCGGCGGGAGGACAGCGGCCGGAAGCCAGAGCGGCGGCGCCTAAAGACGGCACGCCTCAAGGAGTACACCATCAAGTCGCACTCGAGCATGCCCCCCAACAACACCTACATCAACTTCGAGCGCTTCTCCAAGGTGCTGGAGGAGGTGGCGGCGGCCGAGGAGGGCCTGCGCGGGCTGGAGCACAGCCGGCGCCTGTTCCATGAGGACCTAGAGGCGCTGACAGCCATCTATGAGGAGAAGGAGGCCTGGTACCGTGAGGAGAATGAGAGCCTAGGCCAAGACCTGCGGCGGCTGCGCCAGGAGCTGCACAAGACAGAGGCGCTGCAGCGGCAGGCACAGGAGGAGGCCAAGGGTGCCCTGCTCGGGGCCAGTGGGCTCAAGCGCCGCTTTAGCCGCCTGGAGAACCGCTATGAGGCACTGGCCAAGCAAGTGGCCTCTGAGATGCGGTTCGTGCAGGATCTGGTGCGCGCCATGGAGCAGGAGAAGCTGCAGGAGGGGGAGTGCAGCCTCCGCTAGGGCCGCCCAGGGTGCGGCATCCTCGGCCCTGGGAGGCCCCGTCACCCAGGAGCCCAGGAGCTGGAGGCAGGATGTACTCTATGTGGCCCTGGAATCTATGGCCTAGGGAGGGCTTGGCCTGGCTTTACCCCAGAGGAGGTGGCTGGTCTGGGCCTTCTCTGCATCGCCCGAGTGCCCCCAGCCCAGCCCCTCCCTCCCTCTTGCAGCTCCACTCCGGGGGCATCCATGGCAACATCAGCTCAGGACCTCTGGGAGGAGCCAGCACATCCATGATGGAACTGGCTACGGTGGACACATGCCTCACACCTGCCCAGGGTTGGGCTGGCAGCCTTCATGTTCAGAACCTGGTCAGCAGCCTCAGGCTGTCCATGTGGTCCAAGTGTGTGGAATCTTGGTGTGGGGGCATGGGGGGTGTCTGTGAATGGCATAGGGCTCAGAACTGAGGGGGAGCCTCTGCTCGACACCCTGGCTCCTCCACTCTGGAGAAGAGAAGCTACTCCTCCAGAGTCAGTGGTGGAAGGGCCTCTGATCCAGCTCTCCAGATCCTCCAGCCCCTCTCGGTGCCCCCAGCCCTCGAGGAGATGTCAGTCTGGGGGTTGTATTGGGGGTGGTGGTGGCAGGCACAGGGCCTGGGTGCAGTAAAGAAGTATCTACAAGGCCGAATCTCCACTTCTTGCTGAGGCAGGCCTCCCATGGGGAAGGGGGTGAAGAGCCTTGGGACCTCCCCTTCTCTCCAGTTCCCTGACAACGCTTAGAGCCTTCAGCAGGGTCCCAACCCCACCTCCTCCCCAGCCCCACCCCATCATACTCCCTTTGTCAGTGCTGCCTTTGCACCAGCAGCTCTCTAGTGGGCACCCTGGAGTAACTGCTCCAGGCCTTGTTTCCAGCATCGCCTACCTGGAGAGCCCCAGGGTCCCTTACAGCCTGCCCCACCTTGCTGCGCTCCTTGCAGCTGCTGGAGAAGGCGCCCTTAAGTCGTCTCCGTGGCAATGCTGCTTTGTGCCACTAGGTGCTGCCCTGCAGCGCGGTTCAGAGAATGTGCCCTAAGAACCAGGCTTCAGCAAAACCTGGGTCCCCAGCTGTGGCCATGCTGAGCTCCAGTGGATTTCCCTGCTGCCGTTGTGTTAATCCAGGGGCCCTTATGCAGCCCCCCGCCCTTAGTCTGAGAGGAGTCCTCGCAACAGAGGCCAGCCAAGGACACATGCAGGGAGGAGTGGGTGAGAAGGTGGGTGGCACTCCAGCCGTGGCTCCGGTGGGGCTCAGGCCGCAAGACCCTGCGGGACCGAGGAGGGCATTGGAGCCTGGCTGTGGGGCTGGCAAAAAGGGGCGGGGCGGGCCCACTGTGTGCCCCTCACAGGCACCATTGTATGACACACATGCCTCAGCATGTGCCTGCTGCCAGCCTTAGGGAAATAAAACCCGCTTCCCTGGCTCCTGCTCTCTGCCTGGCTGGGACGGGGGCCTGCCTGGCAGTTAGCTGGCACCACGGCCTCTGTGGCCTCTTGTGTCTTCTGTCCTCTGTTGTCGCCGGCCCCCACAGCCCTGGGGGATCTTGGAGGCTGCCCCTATTTTGGGGCTCAGCTGGGGACGTCTCTGAAGAGCTGGAGGCGTCTAGGCAACGAGTTGGCTTGGAGGGGTTTCCTGTCCCTCTGCTCCCCCTGAGAGGCTGTCAGGTCACACGTGGGCCCCCTGCCTGCTCTGGGCCTGTGTGGAGGAGGTATCCTTGCCACTCCTGCCCCCAGTCACCCAGACTCAGTCTGGAATGTGGCTCCGAAGAGGGTCCTTCTGACTCACTTCCTCCTTCCCAGTGGCCTGGTCAGCATTCTGTTCCATGCATCTCCCTATTCCCCCTCTTTTAAACCAATTTTAGAAAAATTGAGAACACTATGTAAAATTTATTTTTCATCCTTTCTTTATTTGGGGGTGTTCCTTTTTTTGTGGCCATGAAGCACAGCATAGGAGATCTTAGTTCTCCAACTAGGGATATGAACCCATGTCCCCTGCAGTGGAAGCACAGGACCCTAACCACTGGACCACCAGGGAATTACCTGTCTTTGATCAACAACTTTCACTTTGAGAGTCTCAGTAGATTTCAGCTTGTGGCGTGGTCGAACCCACTCAGGTTTCTCCAGTTGGTCTCTGATTGTCCTCCACAGCGGACACCTGCTGTTAGCCCTTTGAGACAGGACTCTGAGCAGCACATCCCCCTGTGATTTATTGCAAAATGCAGTCAGCCTGTGGCAGGAAACGGCGCCCAGTGTGGAAAAGAAATGGGCTTTCATGCAGTGCTGGAGGGCCTCCAGACCCCAAGAGGGGTGAGCCAGAGGCCCCCTGAAGGCTCCGGGGCACCAGTGAATAGCATTCAGCTAGCCAACCTTTACCCAGTTAGGCCGTCAGGGAGATAACGTTTCCAGTCTTTCTGATTAAGGCTTCCTGATAGAAACCACAGCCCCCTTTGGACTCACACCTGCCCTTTCAGAATCCAGAGCACTTCTGTGCTGAGGGCAAATTCCCCAGCGTCTTCAGTGTCCTTGCTCTGGAGATGACCTCTACCCCCTGACCCAAGTCATCTTGAGTTGCTTTCTCAATCTGTTGGCTAACGGCACAGGGAACCACTGTGTGTTCACAAAGCACCTGCCAGTGCCCCCACAATCATTTACTAATAGTATTGACCGTTGGCAGAGCCTGCAGGCTAACGTGCTGTGATTTACCTTGCCTGGCAGGCAGGCCGGCCCCCAAGGAGCCAACGCTCCTGCTCCCTACTCCCTTGAGAGCAGGCTGGCCTCCTGGCGGTTTCTGACGACAGAATGCTGTGGAGGTGCTGGAGGTCATGTTGGTGGGTAGGCTGCACAGACTGACTCCAGGTGACTTCATCGCTGACTGACGTGGTGAGCCTTGTCCATGTGTTGGACAGGCCCATGTGGCAAGTAACAGCCAGCGGGCAGCAAAGCCCACCAACCATGTGAGGGGTCCTAGCCGTGGGTCCTTCCCCAGTCCAGCCTTCAAATAAAGCCCACCCTGGGCTGGCACCTGGGTTGCAGCCTCTTGAGGGACCCTCAGCAGAGGACCCAGGTAGGCCAATCAAGACTCCTGGCCCACAGCTGTGAGATGACAACACTTGTTGATTTAAGGCACTGGGTCTGTGGTAGCAGACTCACACTGATGAAGACACACAGCAACCCCCACCCCTCCCACTGGTTCACTGAGCAACTCAACTCTCACTTCCCCTCTTTGAGCACCCTGTCCCTCTGCCATGCACTCAGCCCCTTTTCTTCCAGGAGTGTGACTGGGGCGGGGGGAGGGTGCAAGCTAGTGCTGAGTGCTACAAGGAGCACGGGCCTCCCAGTAGGTCTGCAGAACCAGGGCTCCCTGTTTCTGGCTTTGTCTTCTTGCCTGCTTTTTGAGGGGCTCAGTGGTAAAGAATCTGCCTGCGATGCCGGAGAAGAGACATGGGTTCTGTCCCTGGGTTGGGAAGATCCCCTGGAGGAGGAAATGACAACCCACTCCAGTTTTCTTGCCTGGGGAATCCCATGGACAGAGGAGCCTGGTGGACTAGTCCATAGTATTGAAAAGAGCTGGACACAACTGAAGAGGCTTAGCACACACCCATGCTGCTTCTGAGCAGGGCGGGGTGGGGGCGGGGAGGGGATGGGGAGTATAAACCATGGGAGTCATGAGTCCCATCCCTCCAGCTGGTGGCCTCAGAATGGACCTGCCCAGCGGTTGGCTCATGTGTGTGAAGCTTGTTGCAAGGAAGCCATTGAAAGCCCGTGTTTATCTCAGAGCCAAGCTTGTGCAGAGGATGGCAAGTGAGGGAGGCTAGGGTTCTGCTGCTGGCAGCTTGTGCAGAGGATGGCAAGTGAGGGAGGCTAGGGTTCTGCTGCTGGCTGCACCCTGAACTGCAGAGATCTCCTTCACTGCCTACTGCACCATGATGGCGATGGCTGCTCCCACCAGAGACGCTAGGAGAGGGGGCGGGAACTTCTAGCGCCCCGTGGAAACGAATTAAATTAGAGCAACTCAGAATCCACGAGAACTCAGGCCAGCAGAGTGGTCTCCGGGCAGGTCAAATTCTCCAAGTAGATGTCGTGACACCAGCTGCAGAGAGAGATGGTGGCAGGCACAGGGGTCATGATTGTGCTTCTAGAGCCACACTGGGAGAGGGTCTGGGAGGGCTCCGATTTGGGGCCTTAGACAGAGACCCAAGCTTTATTTGATTGAAGTCATGAAAGTCAGAAAAGGTCAGTGTTGTCGCCCCTTAGGTTCCAGTTGATCTGATGGTTTAGCCCTCAAGGGGGGTTTAAATTTGGCCAAACAGCTCAAGAGGGTGCTTCAGGGGATTTCCCTGGTGGTCCAGTGGTTAGGGTCCTGCACTTCCACTGCAAGGGGCCCAGGTTCAATCACTGGTCAGAGAACTAAGATCCTGTGTGTTGTAAGGTGCCTCCCAAAAAGGTAAAAATGTAAATAAAAAAGTGCTTCAGGCTAATCTTTACCATTACTACCAGAACTGAGGTGTCTTTACGACTGATCTTTGCCATTGTTGCTTCTCTTGATTGATAAACAGTCCTTCATCTCTGCATTCTTTTGTTTCCTAAGTGAAAGTGTTAGTCACTCAGTCATGTCCAACTCTTTGCCACCCCATGGACTGTAGCCCACTATATTCCTCTGTCCATGAAATTCTCTAGTCAAGAATACTGGAGTGGGTAGCCTTTCCCTTCTCTAGGGGGTCTTCTGGACCCAGGGATCAAACCCAGGTCTCTCCCTTTTCGGGCGGATTCTTTACTGTCTGAGCCAACAGGGAAGCCCTTTATTTCTTTAAGCTTGTTAATTATTGAGACCTGTTCTGGGATGAGCATCATGGCCAGGCTTATATCCTGAAACGACTAAGACCAGAAATGGCTTCTCTCATGTCAAGAAAGCAGCGCCTGGTTCTGTTTCGTCCCTACCCTATCTGTTTCTGTTGCCTCCCTCGGGCTGGGGTGGGCACATCACTGGGGTGACTTCCAGCCCTGGGCTGAGCTTTCTCACTGTTCCCTGAATCTGGCCCATGGCTTCCATCTTTCGGGGGAGGGTTGACAGCTGGCCCTGCAGAGAAGTTCTCCAAAGGTCAGGAAGCCTCCTGGCACTACCAAAGGCCAGCAGAGAAGGGTCAGGAGGGGCTGGACCTAGGGGAAGACAGGGGAAGGGTGGGGTCCTTGGGGATCCCCTTGAGGGGAGATGATTTCAAGGCCACCCCAGGACAAGGACTTGGCACAGGGGGATCCAGCAATGTCCTGTGGTTGCCCGCCCCGTCCATGTACCTTACTGCCCACCTGTTGGGCAGGGAGTTGAGGCAATGTGGACCCTCCAGGGTGGTGGGGTGGCAGGGTTCAGACCCTGGTGTGGACCAGGGGGGCACGGACAGAACTGTGGGTTGTGGCTGGGCTGCTCACCTGGGGGCTCCTGGGTGAGTGACTTCTTTTTCTCCTTTCTTTTGTTTTTTCGCCATGTGTCTTGTGGGATCTTAGTTCACCAGCCAGGGACTGAACTTGGGGCCACAGCAATGAGAGTGCAGAGTCCTAACCACTGGACTGCCAGGGAATTCCCAGTGACTTGTGTTTCAATCCCGTCCTTGTCACCCATTGGAGAGAGCAGGGATCCCACTGTAGGGTCAAGGGTGGCTAGACACAGGACGTCTGACATGGGCAGAGGAGTGGATGGTTCCTTATTAGTCATGTGGACTCACAGCTCTGGGAAGAAGGATGCCGCAGGCCTCTTCTGGGGCACTTGGGGTGCACTTGGGCAGGGTGAACCCGGGGCTGTGGGGGGCAGGCTTTCGTGATGAGAGGACTAGGTGGGAGGGTGTTGCTGACTTGCTTGAATAATTCTGAGGGCTGGTGGGGCAGTGACAGCAGGAGCCCATTTGATCCCACAGTCCCTTGAGAAGGCGGGTGTTGGGCCAGTGGACCTCATCAGGGGTGACTGGGGCCCTCCCGGTTTTCCCAGCACATGAGATTGGGCCTTTCTTTGGCCACACAGCATGTGGGGTCTTAGTTTCCTGACCAGGGATGGAACCCTCGCTCCCTCAACCATAGAAGCATGGAGCCTTAACCCCTGGACCACCAGGGAAGTCCCAGATTGGGCCTTAACTGAGGCCACCCACCAGCATCTCCATTAACCACAAGCCATTTGCAAAATGAGTCAGCTAGGGCCTAGGTTCACATGGCCCCTGACCTGGCTCTTGGCAGGCAGGGTACCTCTGTGTGTGCCAGCTTTGTCCTTAGAGACAGTGGTGCCCAGAGTGGTGGCAAGGGATGGAGGAAGGGGTGTGTCGGGGCCCGGCACCCCCTGGGCACCCCCTCACTAAGCGGGTGGTGTTAGATTGGGGGGCTTGGCCCAGGCGTCACCAGCCCACGCTGGGTCCTGCCCGCCTCTCGGGGGGCAGAGGGCTGTCCGTCCATGCCACCTGCCCTGGCCCAGTGGCCGCACGCCCACAGCTGCCGTGCTCCTGACCATACTCGGGCAAGAGGCGGCGGCCGCTATTAATAACCAGCGCGGCTGCCCAGGGCACAGGGTGGCCTATAAAGCCAGCCCCGCCAGTGTCAGGAGGCTCCTTCAGCCCCCGAGAACTTTAGCCCCCCCGTTGTACAGAGAGAAAAAGAAAAGTAAGTACTGAAACCATCCCCCTGTCCCTCTGCCCAGCCCCACTCGGTGGCCCGAAAAGTGAGACACAGAACAATGGTGAAAGACATACCCCACGCAAAGGACGTGTGAACACAGCCTCGCCTCGGGGGCACTTCACCGGCCCAGGCTGGAAGAGGGGGCAAGGGAGGGGGAGGGGAGGAGGAGGAAGAGGGGGCTGGGCCTTCTCTTCCTGGACTCTCCTTGTCCTGAGGGGACAGACCCGGGGGCCCCTCCCTGGCCAGTTGACCCCAGGAGGCCTACATCCTGCAGTTATGGCTGGGGTGCTGTCTCCCCTCAGGGAGCCCACGACTTCCCCCCTACCCACCCCCACCCCTAACTCCCCAGTGTCCTCCACCTCACCCCCTGCACGTGTGTGTTAGTTGTTCAGTCATGTCTGACTATTTGCAACCCCATGGACTGTAGCCCGCCAGGGCCCTCTGTCCATGGGATTCTCCAGGCAAGAATACTGGAATAGAGAGCCATTCCCTTCTCCAGGGTATCTTCCTGACCCAGGAATCGAACCCAGGTCTCCTGCGTTGCAGGCAGATTCTTTACCATCCAAGCCACTAGGGAAGTGGGTGGCTGAACCCCGCTCCCCGGGGTTTTGTATTTTGAGAGTCCCCAGATGGGAGGACTTACAGGTGGGCCCTGTTTGTATGATGGCAAGTGGCCTCTGCACCCTCCGCCGCCCCCTCCCCTCCCTGGCTTTTCGAAGGCTGAGAGAAGCTTAAACCGGACAGCGTGGCCATGCGGGCATCTGGGTGGACTTGGGGGGCACTCCTGGGCGACTGTGGAGGGCCTGTGGCTGCCTGTCTCTCCCAGTCAGCCTGCTCCTCGCTTAGGCACTGGCTGTCCCCCAACCCCGGGGTGTGCCCCAAGGCCGCCCCCTCAGCGGCCTGGCAGACAGGATGCCTGAGGTAGGGGCCACCTTCAGAGGCAACCACTCTGACCCTGATGGGACTCGGGTGGGGCGGGCAGAGTTATTGCTGATTAAGAGGGCCGGCTGAGTGCTACTTGATGTGAGTGGCAAGTGCTTGGAGTGGGGGTGTCCTGAAATAGAACGAGGAAGGTGGGGGGCAGGGAGCGGGCTCTGCGGCCTCGCGCCCACATCCTGGGCCTCTGCTGCTGTCTTCCTCCTCCCAGGGCTGTTAGGACATTCAGGAAGGGCCCCCCAGGCAGAGCTCTGGTGGGGTGACCGGCCAGAGGCTTGCCTGGGGACGCTCTGCATGGAAGGTCACCCACCCATCTGTATGTCTGCGGTGGGCTGGGGTGGGATAGGGTATCCCCAGAGGGACTTCCTAATCAGGGTGGCCTCAGAGAAGCCAGATTCCAGTGAGGGGCCCCTGGAATCCCTCCCATCCCCCTCAACCCCCAGCAATCCTGAGGACGCACCTTGTCCCCCCTTGTAGGTGAGCTGTCTGGCGCCTGGGGCCCTGTAGGGATCCAAGAAGTGGGGTGGCAGGCAGGCCAGGCCAAGTTCCTGGGGGTGGGGGTGACTTGGCCCAGGAGGGTGTCAGCCACCGGATGAAGGGCACATAGGTGTGAGTGCGTCACGTGGGTGTGTGTCAGGGTCTGCCCCATTCTGGGTGCTTAGCCTGGCCTACACAGTGAGTCCCACTCGGGGCACCCCAAGTCGGGGAGTGGAGGTTTGAGCCAGTTCTCTGCCTTTAGTCCAGGTTGCCTCCCCTCGGATCTGCTGACATGAGATTCGTAAAGAGAACTAATACACATGGTGGTACTGGTAGGGGAGTCTGCTCCAGCCCATGATGGGGGCAGGTGGAGAATGAATGGCCACAGAAGGGACCTCAGAGGGAGGCGGTGGGGACACCAGGAGCTGGGAGGGGCTCCTCCGGGCCTGGGGTTGGGGGAGCCTGGTGGTGATGGGTCCTGCAGGACTGTGGGTACAGCCATGTCCCAAGCCCATCTGCCTGGCCTGGAACCCTGCCTGTCGCCTGGGGCCAAGGGACTCCTCCCTTGGGAGCCTCAGTTTCCTCATCTGGAAAACAAGACTAGGTTATTCTGGTTGCCAGAGTACAGAAGAGCTCTCCCAGACTCCCCAAGCATCAGACAGGTGTCCCACAGGTGGGGCGGGCCTCAGGCTCTGTCACGGAGGGTGGCAAGACCTGCCACAGACCCAGCAGCAGTGGGCTTCCCAAGCCCAGGGCAGGAGGTGAGGTCCAGGGGGCACGTTACCTGCCCAGGGCCTCTCTCCAGGATGGGCTGAGGCAGCTGGGTTCTAGGGCTGCCCACTTACGCTCCAGGCTGCCTGGTCTTGGGGCCTCCCATCCTAGGGCCTGGCACTAACAGAGGGGGTGCTTGGTGGACACGGGAGGGGCGTGTTGGGTTAGTCTTCGGGTTCTGTCTGGGGAAGGCACAAGTTAGCCTGGCCAGGCCCACGATGAGCCTGGAGCCTTCCTGTGGTGGGGCTGATCCGCTGGGCCCGTCAGACAGTTGTAGAAGGATTGAGAGATTCTTCCAGGGGTTCGGGTGGGAGGGCCATCTGGGGCAAGTGTGAGCAGCCTGGCATGCTTCCTCAGCTGGAGAAGGCCCTGGTGGGCATTTCCAGACTGGAGTTCAAATCTGAACTCTGCTGATCGACCATGGGCAGGTCCCTTTCCTCTCTGAGCCCTAGGGAAGTGGGTCATAGGATAACCCACCCCTTCAGGTGGCTGGCCCCCCATCAGGGGGCAGACTCTCAGTTTGCCTGGACCTGGGCTTTCCCAGCACGGGGAACCCTCAGTGCTGAAACATGGAAAGTTCTGTGCACACTGGGTCAAGATGGTCCCCCGCCCCACCTCTACTGTTTTCATAACGACCAAGGTGTCTGGTGACCGGGCAGGGCTCAGGCTGCCCCAGAGCCACCTCTCCTGTGTCTCTGTCCCCTCCTGGGTTATTTTGGGCCTGGTGACCGGTGGATCAGCGTCGCTGTGCTCCGTGCCTGTGGCAAAGGGCAGGGCTTGGCAGGCCCGCTGAAACTCCCTCTGGCCCTGCCCCAGCTCCCTGCTGCCCTCCAGGACACAGTGACCGCTCCCCTGACCCTCTACCCCAGCCCTTGCATACACTGCAGTATGTGCAGCCGCTGTAGGAGGTACCTGATTCCAGCTGTGCAGACTGGATGGTCCGCTACAGCCACTCAGCTGGGCCACGTGGTGTGAAAGAAGCCACAGCTGACACACACGTGAATAGGCATGACTGCAGGCCAGTAAAGCCTTATTTATAGATGCTGAAATTTGAATACATGTGATATACGCATGTCACGAAATTTAATTCTTCTCTTAAATTTTCTTCCCCCACAACCATTTAAACATGTGAAGCCATTCTCAGCTTGAAGGATGTGCAAAAACCTACAGTGGGCTGGATTGGACCCAGGGGCCATCCTTTGCTGACCCAAGTACTACATACCCAGTAACTCTAACCCATTACACTGGGCACCTGATTTATTAGTAAGACAGTTATATGCTGTTAGTGAGTTATGAGTATTAACGCATTTTTAAAATCTTGTTCAGTCGCTAAGTCGTGTCCGACTGCAACTCCATGGACTGCAGCATGCCAAGCTTCCCTTCTCCCAGAAGGGAGTCCTTCACCATCTCCAAGAGTTTGCTCAAACTCATGTCCATTGAGTCAATGATGCCATTTTTTAAAATAATATTTTTATGCTATTTTTCTTTTTGGTCATGCGAAGCCCTGTGGCATGTGGGACCCCTGACCAGGGATTAAACCCACTTCACCTGCACTGGAAGTGTGGAGTCCCAACCACTGGACCATCAGGGAAGTCCGACATTAATGCATTTTTTTATTAAAGTAACAAATGTCGAAAATTCCACTGAATAAAAGTCACATTGGGAAATTCCCTGATAGTCCATTTGGTAGGACTTGGCACTCTAGCTGCAAGCAACCCAAGATCAATCCTTAGTTCGGAAAATAAGATCTCATAAGCAGTGTGGCATAGCCAAAAAAAAAAGTTACTTTGGGTGATTTTTTTTCTTATCAAGACCTGGTGAATTAAAAAAAATTATTTATGACATGAAGGATCTTAGTTCCCTGACCAGGAATTGAACCCACGCCCCCCTGCAGTGGAAGCACAGAGTCTTCACCACTGGACCACCAGGGAAGCCCCTAGAAGACTTTATTTTTAAATTTGTATTTATGTATATATTTGGCTGTGTATATATTTGGCACGTGGGTTTTATTTCCCTGACCAGGGATCAAACCCAGACCCCCTGCATTGGGTGCTCAGAGTCTCAGTCACTGGACCACCAGGGAAGTCCTCCAACTCCTTGTATGAACACCAGTCATACTGGATTAAGACCCACCTTCACGACCCAGTCACATTCTGAGGTCCTAAGGGTCAGGGCTTCAACATATGAATGCGAGGGTACACAGTTCAGCCCAGAATAGTGTCATTTGCTCTTTGGTTTTGATGATTTGAAGCGAGGAGACACTTAACAGGTTCAAATCCTGCTCAAATGTCCCAGGACTTGGTGTTCTGAGCCACTAGGTACTCAGTTGCTCGACAGCCAGGGAGGGACAGACACCAGGCCCTCCTGACCTTCGACCTGTGGGCTCCTTCAACTTTGCTGCACTGCCCCTAGAAAGACTAAAAGTACGGGGACCAATCATCTCGGTTCTGAGAGATTTCTGGGAAAATAGGGCTTTCTGTGCTAACACTAGGAAAGTCCCCAGTACGTGGGGATGGCTGGTCACCTTCCTAGTGGCTGCACTGGGCCTGAGCTGGAGCCCCTGCCCCAGCTGTGCTGCCTTCCATCTGCTCAGCATTCTCTTCTTTGTGTCTTGCTCTCTGCTGGGTCGTGAGGCTGCAGGGGCAAAAGGCAGTGGTGAGCGCTATGCCGGGTGATTTCTGTTAGCAGGAAGACTGTGTTGAGAAAGGGCAGCATCCGAGCAGGAGGCTTCCGGCTGGGATACAGAAAGTGAGCGATTTCCCAGGAGCCTGGGACCCCAAACATGGGGCGGGGCAGAACTCACAGGACCGATCCACTGTGAACCAGCCCTTTCTGCGGATCTCCACAGACCCGTCTGTGAAATGGGTGTACACGATAAACTGAACCACCAGCCTTCTAGGGATGGCTCAGGAACACGGAGAGTGTCCTTAGGAGCCTCCTGGGTCATGAGTAGTATCAGCTCCGATCACGGGGGAGGTGCCGGGGTGCAGTGAGGGTGGGGCTCAGCCAAGAGCCAGGGGCACCCTCAGGCTGGGCTGACCTCCCAGACCCTGCTCTGGGCCGCGCTGCGCCATGTGCTGAAAGCTGGCAGGAAATCTCCCTTTTGAGGAAAATAGGCCCAAAGACCCTCAAGCAGCCACCCAGGGCCACACTGCCGTGGGTCCACCAGGTGGAGACTGCCACTGCCCGGAGCTCTCAGCGTCACCCCCGGAGGTCACCAGTACACTGAGGAGAAAGGCCGGGAGGGGCCCTCTCGGCACCTCAAACACAACAGGCTGGACCCCAACGACTAAAAAACAGGATCAGGTTTAATAAGTAAGCCGCCGTCGAGGTTACGGATGGATGCATCGTGGGCCCCAAGCTGCTGGGCTGTGAGCGGGGCGTCCACTCTCATATGTACAAGACTTCCCCGACGGGAATGGTCATGCAGTGTCCGGCTGCAGTGCCACCCGCTGGCCGCGCTGTGGCCGGAGCTGTGTGTGGGTCCCTGCAGTGGGGGCTGGGCCCCTCCTCTTGGGCCTCGCTAGGAGCGGTTCAGGAGTGAGTTCTGAATGTCTTCCAGGACCTGGTGGAAAAGCTTCTCGCGGGGCTTCATGCCATCCAGGTACACTGCAGTTGGAAAGGCCGTAGTCAGAGGCCCATGGGGCTCAGCCAAGGGAGGGCCGGCTCCCTGGGGCTGGTGCCAACCAGCTCACAGCAGGGCTGGCGGACTGCTGGGTCAGGAGGAAGCGGACCCACAGAGTTAGGCAGCTGGGACAGGCCAGCCTCTGGGCCCCAAAGCAAGAGAGACTGCTGGCGAGACTCGAGGAAGGCCTTCCAGGTTTCCTACCAGGTCCCGGTGGGGAGGGGCTGGCCTCATCTCACTCAGGGACTTACCCACTTCCACACCATTGGCCTCCATCTCCCGCTTATATTTCTGGTACATAGGCCACACGTGGCCGTCGAAGAGGCCAGGGGGATCAGGGACCGCGTAGCTTCGCGTACTGGGGAGGGAGATGGGCAAGAATGAGCGACACGCAGGTCACCTGAGGGTGGTGCCAGCGCAGAGCCTGGGGTGCGGGAACTAGTTCAGGAACGGGGACCCCACGAAGTCAGGGGCCCCATGTTGGGTGCTCCAACTTCCAGCATTTTTCCCAGTGGGCCTGGGAGATGCCCACAGCAGGGCAGGGGTGGGTCATGCTATCCAGACCCCAGGCTGTGGGCCTCTGGAACCCAGCACTGGCCACCCAAGTGCCTGCTGCCAAGCAGTCTGCAGCTTCAGGGTGGCCATGTGTCTGGCGGGCATAACCCATTTCCTGGTGCCCCCTGGGGATGCAGACAGGGCCCCCCAGGCTCACCTTCTCCTCCACTTGCACTCTTCGTAGGGGACAGTCAGGAAGTACCTTCGGCTGTACAAGTCCACCAGGGGCCTGGCAGGGGGGAGGACATGGTCAGCACCCATGGGCCAGAGCACACAACCCCAGAGCCTCCAGGGATGTTCCTGGGTGACAAGGGTCGGGTGGGGCGAGGGGCCTGGGCTGATTAAGTTAGGGATGAGCGGGGGGACCAGCAGTGGCCAGTCTCTTGCTATGCCCACTGCACCCCCTTACTCTGAGGGTGGAGTCATCCCTCTCTCCCAATTCGGGGGCCCAGAGAGGTACAGTGTCTTGCCCAGGGCCACCCAGCAAGGTTGGGGATTCCACCCAGCCTGCTCTGTCTGAGGAAGCTGAGGTCCAAGACGCTTCCGTTCAGTTCCCCTAAGAGGTGTAGGTTTTTGCCCCAGACCCTTGGGTCTGACTCTGAGGCCGGCCCCCGCCCCCTTACTCCTACTGCCCTGATCCCAAGCCTCCCACACCCCCAGGCCTTAGTGTTCTGTCTGTCAAAATAGAGACTTGGTGACCTAGGAGGGCCCGCATTGCCCGGGGCCCATATCCAGAGATGCTCACTTGTAGCTGTAGAGCAGGAAGCCTTCCAGAATGAGGATGTGGGTGTCTGAGGCATCCAGTCGGACGCTGACCCCGTGGGCGCGGGCAAACTTCCGGGGGCTGCTCACCCAGGCCTGTACGGTGCTCAGCATGGCCTCCATGTCCAGGGACTCCAGCACTGGGGGGTGGGAGACAGGGAGTTGGTGGGGTGGGGGCCGGGGGGGCACTGTGGGCAGGGGCGCAGGGCTGCCGCCATCCATTCTTACCGTCCCACTGTTTGAAGCCGTCCTCCCCAACTGCTATTTGGTCTTGGGGCTGAAACAGAGGAGCCCAAGCCGCGGGCTCAGTGCCCGCCTTCCCACCTCACCCCACCCTGGGGGAACAGCGCCCGGAGAGCCCCCTATGAGGGTCTGGGGGCACCTGCTTGCCCCGTCCCCCTGCAGCTGAGAGTCACAGGCTCTGAGGTCCCAGGCAAGGCACTCAGAACCCCCTCCCCAACTTCATGACTACTGGAATCAGGAGTGGGGACCAGTTACATCCATAGTAAAGTTGCCCCTCACCCTCCACAAAGCAACGAGGGTGGGCTCAGAGCCCATTTTGCAGACGGGAAAGTGGAGGTGCAGAGGATAAAGGGCACTGCCCAGGTGACACATCCCCTCTGGGAATTGCAGTTTCCCCGTCTGTGCCCTGAGAACTGCCAGGCACATAGTAGGTGCTCAGTAATTGAGAACGTCGGCCTCAGGGTGCCCCTGAGGGGTCTGCCTGCCCTAAGGCTCCTTCTCAGGGCGCTTCCCTCCCCTGCTCCTGGCCAGGGCAGCCACCTTGAAGAAGTCATCCTGGTGGATCACACAGCAGTTGGGCAGCGCCTTGAGGAGGCTGTTGGTCAGGGTAGTCTTGCCGCCATTGGTCATGCTGTGGGCAGAGCATACTTGTGAGGTTGCCTGGATCCCTTCTGTGGGCCTGTCTGGGTCTGAGGGGCCCCCAGGATCAGACTAAAACCTAAAACACAAGAGGGTATTCATCTAAAGTCAGGGGATGAGATGGTTGTATAGCATCACTGACTCAATGAACTGACTCAGATTGCTCGATGGGTTTGAGCAAACTCTGGAAGACAGTGAAGGACAAGGAAGGCTGGCATGCTGCAGTCTGTGGGGCTGAAAAGAATAGGACACAACTGAGCGGCTGAACAATAGCAACAGAAAGTCAGGGGAGGGGTTCTGAGTGGCCAACCTGGGCCGCCCGGCAGCCTACTGCCCACTGCCCACTTGGGCCAGGCACAGGCCTGCACTTGCCGGTGGGGAGAAACAGAGAAAAGAGCAGAGGATGTGAAAACAAGCTGACAAGTTAACACGCAGTCTCAGCTGGGGTCATGGAAGCACTGCTTTCCGTGTTTGGACTCATTCAGCGTGACCGCAAACCCATGAGGTGGGGCTGGGAGCTGGTCTTACAGACCAGGAAACTGAGGCCCACGTGTGACCTAGCCTCTGCAGGCCTTTTTAAAAAAGCCAGACTATCAAAGGAGGTGCTAAGTGGAAAACTGCAAACCTGGGAAGAGGCAGTCACCTTAGGACAATGGGTGGGAATTCCCTGGTGGTTAGGACTCCATGCTTTCTCTGCTGAGGGCCTTAGTTCGACCCCTGGGTGGAGAACTAATATCCCACAAGGCATGTGGTGTGGAAAAAAAAAAAAATCCTCAAAAAACAATGGGCAAAGCAGGGTGACCTGCTCAATCTCATCTGCCTCGGATATCTCTGGTTTTAGTGCCCAAAGTCCCAAATCCTGGGGCTCCTTCAGCCCCAGGAAAAGCAGGATGATGGTCACCCTAAGGACTCTAGACTGGGGCCGTCGAAGGACACAGAAGGGTGACTGTCAGGCCTTCCTGGACGTGAGTGTCCCTTTGACCTAGCTGTCCCTGCCCCAGGAATCAGGAGTGGAAAGCTGAGTGTGGAAGGAGGGAGTTGCAGCTTTTAAAAGAGCTGGTGAGAAAGGAGACCTCCATACATGAAGGGGAGCAGGTTAGAGCATGCCTGAGGTTAATTTGAGTTGTTGCTGACAGGCTCGCCATGCCCTCAGGGCCGGCTACAGAAAGGGGGGCCCTCGTCTCATTCTGTTAGGGATTTCAAGAGCGTAATGGAGCACTAAAGCGAACGCAGGGTGGACCCAGGGCAACCTCCCAGATTGGAGCTCCAAGCCAGCCCGGCTTCTGCTAAATGCTTCCCAGGCATAGTCCTAAAAGGCCACAACCCCCAGGAAAGCAAGGTCCCTGCCTGAGGTCAGCAGAAGGAGCTTCTAGAGGCAGGTGCCACCCAGTAGAGTGCCACTCTGAGGCCCCCACCCCACCGGCCCAGGAGCCTCTGGGGTTGGCGTCTCCCCATCCCCACCCTCAGCGCTTCACGGAAGACCTGCCTAAGCTTTATAAAGTCTTCTATCCCCAGGGAGTCTAGTCCAGTCTGGGTGCGGGGTGGGGAAGGGACTTCCAGTGGGGAATTTCCCAACAGAGGGCAGAAACCCCCTCCCAGCACTCCGACCTTGGGCATCGGGTCCCTGCGACACCAGGCGCCAGGCAGCCCTCCATTCATTCCCCTGGCCTCCTGCCCAGGCCGCCGGCTCGGCCGGCACAGGGGCGCGCCCGGCCGGCCTCTCCCTCCTCCGCGCGCTCCCGGGCCGCTCACCCTCCGATGCCCACGATGTACTTCATCTCGGCGCGGAGGGGCGGCGGGGACCGCGGTTGGCAAGCTGACTCCTGACTCCCGGGTGCCCGGCTGGGCCCGACCCCGCAGTGCGTCCCGGCTTCATTGAGAAAACCCCGCGCCTTTATAGGCTGGGGCAGTCTGGAGGCCGCCCGGAGGGAGGCGGCCCACCTCCTATGGGGAGCGCGGCTGCGCGGTGAAGTGGGCGGGCGGGGTGGGGGTGGGGCGCTGCACCTGTTCCCTCTGGATGGAAATAGCTTCACGCCGTCTTTTGCCTAAATTAGTCACGGGTCGGCCAGGCAGGGGGGTGCGGGTGGATGTCACCCCGCTCCCTCTCCCCTCCTCCTACTCCTTCCCTCCTCCCCCTCCTGGCCAGGCTGCCCAGGGGACAGATAACCGGCCACACACCTTCCCTCCCTAAAAATATCCAGGCCGGTGTGTCCCCTCGCCTGACCCTGACATTAAGGCCGGTTCTGGTGGCTGAAGAAAGGAACTCACACCTCCCCACTGGGCCCAGTCTCCAGCCACAGCAGCCGGCCAGCCAGTCGCAGGGGCTCCACACAGCAGGGGACTTCCTTTTCTAAGGGGGTTGCTGCCAAGATGGGCTTAAGGTCCAGAGCGGTGAATCCCAAGATAGCTTCGTTCAGGTGACCCTGGCCAAGGGAAAATCTCAGCGTGACGCCAGGGGCCTGTTCTATGGGCGCCCACGTGAGGCCTGGCGTCATTGGGTTTAGCCTCTGGCCTCTCAGAAGCTGGCCGGGGTAGGGTCGGGGAGGCATGGGTCTGTGGATCCCTCCTCCACAACACACATACCTTACTGACCAGCTGGGACTGTATCCCAGACCCTGACTCCCCACCAGAGGAGACCTTTTGCTTTCAGGACCCCCTTTCTCACTCGAGAATTACTGAGGATCCCAGGGAGCTTTGGTTTAAATGGATTACTATTGGGTCTTCCCTGGTGGTCCAGTGGTTAAGACTCTGTCCTTCCAGTGAAGGGGGCATGAGTTTGATCCCTGGTCCGGGAGCTAGGATCTCACAAGCCACTCAAGGTGTGGCCTCAGTAAAGAAATAAATAAATGGATTATTGTCATGGATAGTATTTACCACATTGTAACTTAAAACTGAGGAAGATTAAAGCCTTTTTAACTTTTAAAAATGATAACACTACATGGTCACATAGATGTAATATACATATGTATTTATAATTTTGTTGATTTGGGGCTGCCTTTGTTGCTTTGCTTGGACTTTCTGTAGTTGCCGTGAGCAGCGGGGGCTCCTCTTGGTTATGGTGTGTGGCTTCTCTTGTTTCAGAGCACAGGCTCTAGGCTCGCAGGCATCCGTAGCTGCAGCACGTGGGCTCAGTAGTTGTGGCCTTTGGGCTCTGGAGTGCCTGGACTTCAGTCGTGGCGCACAGGCTTAGTTGCTCCAAGAAATGTGGGATCTTCCCAGACCAGGGAGGAACCTGTGTCCCTTCCACCGGCAGGTGGATTCTTATCCACTGAGTCATCAGGGAAGTCCACAAACATGATATTTTTAATGAAAAATAATGGTTTTTTAAAAATTCAGGGAGGGGGCTAGATAAAATTTAAAACTTTTTTGTATTGAATGACATTATTAAGAAAGTGAAAAGATAATGCAGGGGATGGGAGAAAATATTTACAAGTCATATATATGGTAAGGGGTTATTAGAATATATAGAGAACTCTTTCAAGTCAGCAACAAAAAGACAAATGACCCAATTTAAAAATGGGCAGACTCTGAATAGACATTTCTTCAAAGAAGATATACTCATGTCCAACAAGCACATGAAAAGATGCTCAGCATCACTGATTATCAGGGAGATGCAAATGGAAACCACAGTGAGGGAATTCCTTGGTGGGCCAGTGGTCTGGACTCTGGGTTTCACTGCCAAGGGTGCAGGTCAACTGCAGGTCAGGGGACTAAGATGCTGCAAGCTGCAACCCAAAAAATGAATAAATAACCCACAGTGAGATACCACTCACACCCACTACGGTGGCCATAGTCAAAGAGATGGACTATGTGTATGTCAGTGAGGATGGACAGAGATGGCAGTCCTGTGTGATGCTGGTGGGCATGGGAAGTGGGGCAGTCTGTGGAAAACAGTTGGCAGTTTTTTGGACCCAATTTCACTTCAAAGTGTCAACCCAAGAGAAATGAAAACACATGTCTCCACAGATGCTTGTCCATGAATGTTTATAGCAACATGACTCATAGGAGCCAAAAGGTGGAAATAACTAAGTGTCTATTAGCAGATGAATGGATATACACACTGATCCATTCTCCCACAGACTATTATTCTGCTACTAGAAGGGGAGAAGCCCTGACACTCGCTACCATGTGGACGGACCCTGAGGACACGATGCTCAGTAAGAGAAGCAGACACAGAAGGACACACAGGGTGTGATTCCACTGATGGGAAAAGTCCAGAACTGGCCAATCCACAGAGACGCCGTTCGTGGTTACCAGGGCCTGGGAGAGGGCAAATGAGGGGTGATTACTTGTAGGGTGTTCTTCTGAGGTGATGAGAATGTTCTGGAATTAGATAGAGGTGATATTTTCAGAGCACTGTGAATGCACTAAGTGTCAGCTAATGGTATACTTTACAATAACGGTTAGTTGCATATTATGTGACTTTCGCCTCAGTTGACAACAACAAAAAAGCTGAGAACCTTTCCAGCTACAGTCAGAGAGATAGGACACATTGCTACAGCAGGAGGGTCAGAAAGATAACCTGCTGCTGTCTGTGAAGATGGAGGAGGAACCATAAGCCAGGGATGTGGCGGCTCTAGAAGCCAGAAAAGGCAGGAGTCAGTTCTTCCCTGGAGCCTCCTGCGGGACCAGTCCTGCCCCCATCTTGATCTTAGCTCTATGAGACCTGTGTCAGACTCCTCACCTCCAGAACTGTCAGAGAATAAATTTATATTGTCTAAATAAAAAAAAAATTTTTAGGTTAAAGAGTGATATCTCTGTGTGTGTTCAGTTGCCAAGTCGTGTCCGATTATTTGCAACCCCATGAACTTCAGCATGCCAGTCCTCCCTGTCCTTCATTATTTCCCGGAGTTTGCCCAAGTTCATGTTCATTGAGTCAGTGATGCCATCCAACCACCTCATCCTCTGTCGCCCCCTTCTCCCCTTGTCTTCAATCTTTCCCAACATCAGTGTCTTTTCCAATGAGTCAGCTCTTTACATCAGGTCTCCAAAGTATTGGAGCTTCAGCTTCAGCATCAGTCCTTCCAATGAGTATTCAGGGTTGATTTCCTTTAGGATGGACTGGTTTGATCTCCTTGCAGTTCAAGGGACTCTCAAAGTCTTCTCCAGCACCAAAGTTCAAATGCATCAATTCTTCGGTGCTCTACCTTCTTTACGGTCCAATTCTCACATCTGTATGTGACTACTGGAAAAACCATCGCTTTGACTGTATGGACATTTGTTGGCAAAGTGATGTCTTTGCTTTTTAACACTCTGCCTAGATTTGCCATAGTTTTCTTGCCAAGAAGCAATCGTCTTCTAATTTCATGACAGCAGTCACCATCCACAGTGATTTTAGGGCCCAAATCACTTTAATGTCTGGTTTAGAAGGATTCTCGCATCTGCTTGTGGTTCAGCTGGTTTCCATGGTTGTTTTGGTCAATATACAGGAGAAAGGGCTTCCCAGGTGGCGCTAGTGGGAAAGAATCTATTTGTCAATGCAGGAGCCATAAGAGACCTGGGTTCCATCCCTGGGTTGGGAAGGTCCCCTGGAGGAGGGCATGGCAACCCACTCCAATATTCTTGCCTGCAGAATCCCATGGACAGAGGAGCCTGGCAGGCTACAGTCCATTGGGTCACAAAGAGTCAGACATGACTGAAGTGACTTAGCATGTACTCACAGGAAGAAAAATCTAGCTTTACACACAGATAAAGGAGGATTTTTAGCCTGTTTTAGGTCATCATGGGTAGTTTTCTTTGTCCTACACCTGACCAGAATGGAAGAAGGTTTATGAAGGTGGACTGTTCTTTTTCACTCTCTCCTCCATTAAAGGTCATCAGTCTATCTTTGCACTTTGTTTCTTCGCTTGTTTTTGTTAAATGATTTTTTAAATAACTTTATTTATTTATTTTTGGCTGTGCTGGGTTTTCGCTGCTGTGTGGGCTTTTCTCTAATTGTGGCGAGTGGGGGCTACTCTCTAGTTGTGGTGCTGAGGCTTCTCATTGCAATGGTTTCTCTTGTTGGGGAGCACGGGCTCTAGGGCACATGGGCTTCAGTAGTTGTGGCTCGTGGGCTCTAGAACAGGCTTAATAATTGTGGTGCCCCTTGCTGTGAAAGTATTGAGTCCTAACCACTGGACCACCAAGGAAAGAAAGTGAAAGTGTTAGATGCTCAGTCGTGACCGACTCTTTGCGACCCCGTGGACTGTAGCCCGCCAGGCTCCTCTGTCCATGGGATTTTCCAGGCAAGAATACTGGAGTGGGTAGCCATTTCCTTCTCCAGGGGATCTTCCCGACCCAGGAATGGAACCTAGGTCTTTTGCACTGGCAGGCAGATTCTTTACTGTCTAAGCCACCAGGGAAGTCACTTGGAATGGATCTTTTTTCCATATGATTCTGACCTTGAAGACCCCCTGAAGGAGTCTCAGTGATCACCACCCTCACCCACTCTGGCCTACTCTTTAAGAATCCTTGGTTAAGAATTCTGCTTTTGAATCCTGGTTCTGCCATTTGCCACATGGGGGAGCTCAGGCCCCACCTTGGCCTCTCTGTGCCTCAGTGTTCCCATCTGTATAAAGGGAGGCTGCTGGCTCCAACGAAGGGAGGGAGGATGGTATGACTTTGGGCTCCCACCCCCAGGAGTAATGAAGGGAGGATGCCCTGCCCTGCCCATTCTTTACCTGCCCCTCAGCAGCCAAAGTTGCTGTCACAGGGCCTTTGCACATGCCATTGTCTTTTCTGGGAACCATCCCTCCCCTTACCCAATCCTCCTCCCTCAGGCTAACTTTGACTAAGCCATCCTGCATCAGCTCGAACCTCCCCTCTTGCAGGAAGACTTTCTGGATCCCCACTGCCTCCCTCCACATCATGAGTTTCCCCCCGGGGCAGGCAGGGCCATGCATGTCTTGTTTTCTGATGTATCCCCAGTGCCTACCAAGGTCAGGTCCACTGATGGTAGCGTCCTTCCCTCCCTAAATAGTAGCAGAGGGAATGAATGAAACAGGAAGGGCCAAGAGATCTTTGAACCCAGCCAACGGCTTCCTAGGTGGTGATAGTGATAAAGAACCCCCCTACCAATGCAGGAAACCTATGAGGCTCGGGTTTGATCCCTGGTTGAGGAAGATCCCCTGAAAAAGGAAATGGCAAACCACTCCAGTACTCTTGTCTGGGAAATCCCATGGACAGAGGAGGCTGGCGGGCTACAGTTCATGGGGTTACAAAGAGTTGGACAGGACTAAAACAACTTAGCACGCAAGTATGCACGCTGGCTGAAACACAAGGGGATTTCAGCAAGAATCCTGCTAAGTTAGTGTAGCTAGACTACCCCCTTACCCTTCATGTCCTCTCCTGTGATCTTCGGTTCACCGACCCGACCTGCTCCTTGGCTGTGAACCTGCTTGCCGGTGCTGTGTCAGGAGTGGAAACTGGCTCTATGCTCTTTCTGCCCTCCTGCAATGACTCCTGAGTACAATCTGCTTTTATGGCTTGAACTGTCGGGCACCAGTTTTTCTCTAAACCCGCCCCCTCTGTGTGACAGCTAGAGGGAGCTTTGTAAAAACCCAGCTGGGGGCTTTCCTGGTGGCTCAGGGGTTGAGAATCCGCCTGTTAATGCTGGGGACGTGGGTTCGATCCCTGATCCAGGAAGATCCCGTATGTCTTGGAGCAACTAAGCCTGTGCCCTGCCACTACTGAGCCTGTGCTCTAGAGCCTGGGAGCCGAAACTACTGAGCCCAAGTACTGCAACTTTTGAAGCACGCATGTCCTAGAACCCACGCTCTGCAACAAGAGAAGCCACCACAATGAGAAACCACACCACAACTAGCGAGTAGCCCCTGTTCTCCTCAAGTAGAGGATCACCTGGACAGCAATCAAGACCTAGCACAGCTAAAACTAAATAAATAAAATAAAACTGGGAAAAAAAAAACCCACCCAGATTGGGGGCTGTCTTTCCTGTTTCATCACTCCTGTGCCAAACATTCCTCCCATTCTTATTTGTGTTTAAAAGAAGCACACTGGGACATCCCTGGTGGTCCAGTGGTTAAGACTCAGCCTTCCAAAGCAGGGTGTGCTGGTTCAATCCTTGGTCAGGGAACTAAGATCACACATGTGTGGTGAGACCAAAAAATAAAAGTAACGCACTATCCTCACCCCCAGGCCCTGCCCTCTCTGGCCCCCCATCATCTCCCTCTGCTCCTATTTTACTGGGAGGACCAGCAGTGGCTAAGACACCTGCTGAGGGTCAACCAGTGGTGGGGACATAGTGACTGGTCTGGTTAAGAATTGTTTAACAGACTCATCTAGTGGCTTCAGGCACGACTGACCTGCTTGAAGGTCAGAGGTCAGGAGAGGTCACTGGGGGCAATGACCCTCCCTTCAAAGGTGGCCACCAGGGGCAGTGTCAAATGCCCAAGACCGGGGTCTTGTCCACTGCCCACCCCCTTTCCTCTCCACTCCAGCCCCTTCTGGCTGTCAGGTCCATCTCTTTGCAGCGTGGCTGGACCCGTGACCCCGAGCTCCATCAGCTGCCCCACAGGCGGGGGAAAAGCCAACTATCTGTGTCACCTCTGGCTCAGTTTCAGTGGCAAGAATTTCCCGGGAGCCTTGTTGTAGGGCACGCGGCCCAAACCATGGGTGACAGTGACATTCCCTGGCAGGGCCCTGGTGGGAGGCCTCTGGGTCGGCTCACCCTGGCACACGGGCTCCCAATACAGACCTGCCTGTCTTCAAAGAGCCCAAGGTCGTTGAAAGTGACCATCCCATGCCATCCTGTGAGATTCCACTGATGGGAAACATCCAGAACATACCAACCCATAGACACATAGAGTGGGTTCCTAGTTGTCAGGGGCTGGGGAGTGCCTGCTGACGGGGACAGGGTCTTCTTTGGGAGCGATGGAATATTCTGGACCCAGACAGAATATTCTGGGTATTCTGTACAACAGAATGTGCTAAATGTGAATGTGCTAAATGCCATTAATGATAAATTTTAAAAATAACTCATTAGGCCCTGTTTAGCTCTGGCTTTGCAGTAACACCCAGCTGTAGCCAGTCCAGCATCAGGCCTTCTCTGTCTGCACTCCTCCAGCCAGTCTTCATTTTTCTGCTCCTGTCTCACCCAACTCTGTCCAGCCTCCAAGCCTTGGCCCTTGCCAGATACCTCTTGGCCTGCCCAAAGGCCTGGCTAACTGTTTCTTCTCTCTGTGATCTCTAACCAGAGAAGACTTTTCCTCCAGGGAGCCTTCCTGGGTTTTCCTCCTGATCCCTAGTGAGGCCCTGGTTCCCTGTGTCAAACTTCCTCACCAGGCTGGGAGCAACGCTGAGAGGTGCCTGTTCCCTAAGGATCCCCAGTACAATATTGTGAATGTGCTAAATGCCATTATTCAGTGAATAAATGAATGAATGAATGAGGTTCACAGGAACCCCCTTAAGATACTCAAAAGACTCAGTGGGGTGGCAGAAAGGGGTGGGCCTGTCACCTCCAGACACAGCACCCCACGGTCCCAGCACCAGTTCTGCCATCTTCAGCTCCCGCTCCTCACCACTCTCATGCCAACTGGCTCCCTCTGCCCGAGGCCCCCTCCCAGTCCCCGTGAAGATACCTTCTCTGTGAAGGGCACCTCGCTGGATGTCACAGGGGTGGGATGGCAGAGACAGGTGGGTTGGCATCTGTTGACTCCTGCCATCAACCTGATGGAGACTTTGTGTGAACACATGCATCCTGGTATCCTGCCACTAGCAGGTCTCAAAATTCTGGGTGTGGGTAATGGGAGGACTCCTCTTGTACCTGGCATGGGAGGGCCTACTCTCACCCTTTGAGGGGAAACAGTCTCCTAAGATCCTATAGCCAGCAAAGGGTGTGGGTCTCCAGTCATGCAATGGGATGGCCAGAGGGACGAAGCACAGGGTCACGTCTCAGACCCACCCTTGAGTGTCCGTGTGACCCCAGGTGAGCCATGCCCCCTCTCTGTGCCTCAGTCTCCCCATCTGTGGTGCCAGAGGGGGCATGCAAGCTCTGCCCCCTTCCCCATTCCTCGCTTGGGTTGGGAAGATCCCCTGGAGAAGGAAATGGCTACCCACTCCAGTATTCTTCCCTGGAGAATTCCATGGACAGAGGAGCCTGGTGGGCTACAGTCAAACGGGGTCATAAAGAGTTGGACACGACTGAAGCGACTTAACACACATACACACACGTTTGTTTCCAGGGAAGACTGGGGGGCAGGAAGGGAACTTGAATCACAGAGAGGCAGAGCCAGAAGGAGGCCTCAGGAAGAACCCAGGTGGGCTTCCCATTCTTGTGACAGGAGCCAGAAGCAAGACAGGCCATGACTTAAGGTCACACAAGTCACTGTGCCCCATCCCGGCGCGTGAAATCTGCTCTCTCTGCACCCTGCCCAAGACCAGTGCCACATCCCATGCACGTGGACAGAAGTCACAAACCTCCTTTCTCACCGATGCTTTATTTTCCATAAAAATCCCCCAAAGCCCGTGGAACTGATGTCTTTACATCATGACAGTAATCATAATGAATTGTTTTAAAAACCCACAAAGCTGGCTGTCGGGACGATGGGCGTGTGAACTACAACCCTGGGTCAGGGGGGTACTTAGGGCACACCCCGTGTGTCACAGAGGAAAACCCAACATCCCTTAACAAGGAGGGCTTGGTGTCCATTGTATTTCAGCCAAAACTGCCCCATGAATAGAAATCTTCCACAAAGCCCATTTCAGAGGGTATGGCTAGGCTCCCGCCTGGATATGGTGGCCCCATCTGGAGCTGTGCCTCGGAACCACATGCACCTGTGGAGAGGTGGCCGGCCTGGAGACCGCCTCCCTGGGGGGCTCTCTCTCTACTCTGGAGGGGGCTGCATGGCGGGTTGGGGTCCTTGGTTCCACTTGCCTGCTGTTTGTGGCTGCTGGTGGTCCTGAGGGGTGGCAGGTGGGCCACAGTGAGCTGGGAGGCGGGCTGGGGGTCCGTGTTGAAATTTCTTGTTCGGCCAGAATCTTTAGGCCACAAACTCCTTGAGCGTGGGATGGTCTACCCCTCTCATCCCTCTGTGGCCCTGCACACGTGTTTTTGCACACATGGTCAGTTGTGTTCGACTCTTTGCGATCCCACGGACTGTAGCCCGTCAGGCTCCTCTGCCCATGGGATTCTCCAGGCAAGAATACTGGAGTGGGTTACCATTTCCTCCTCCAGGGGATCTTCCTAACCCAGGGATCGAACCTGTGTCACCTGTGTTGGCAGGCAGATTCTTTACCACTGAACCACTTTGGAAGCCATCTTGGCTCTGCAGGCTCTCAGTAGCTGTCAGGTTGGGTGGAATGCATCGGTTCCTATCCCCAGCTCCTTTCTCACTGTCATTGAAGCACTGTTTCTAGGAGTTACTGCGTATACTGTACTGTGGATTTGTGGGCCTTGCAGGCCACATGTCCATCTCATCAGCAGAGCAGAACCAGTCACTTGAACCTGGAGTTCGACACGGCCCTGCAGATGCCGAGGCACCTTTTATAAAAGGAGGCACTCTGGGCAGGGTTGGGGCATGAGCGGACCCAGGATGGAGGGGACTTTCAGTGGGGGGCTGGGAGTGGGGGCCTGCCTTGGGCTCCAGGTAACTCATCTGAGCCAGAAACATGGATCCTGTCCTTTATTTGACATTCGGGAAACAGAGCAAAAACACAAATTAAAAAATCCCACCAGACACCCAAAGGCCCCAGCCTTGCAGGAGCAGGGCTGGGTTCCAGAAAACAGAGGCCCAAGGCCCTGCATCTTCCAAGATGGGAGCCACTGGTAGGACAATTCCCCGCCATGCGGAAAGCCTTGTTGTCCCTTTGCCTCAGTGCTGAGTGCCACTGGCTCCCTCCCGTCATCAGGGTGACCCTAGATGCACCCCCTTGGTGCCAAGAATCTCCTACTGGGAGATGATTGGGGTAGGGGGTCGATCAAACTCAGATGACGCCAGCCAAGAGGCCAGCCACCACCTGCGCTTGACTTCTGCCCGAATTTGTGGAAACAGAGGGCTTCCCTGGTGACTCAGATGGTAAAGAATCTGCCTGCCATGCAGGAGACCGGGGTTTGATACCTGAGTCGGGAAAATCCCCTGGAGAAGGAAATGGCAACCCACTCCACTATTCTTGCCTGGAGAATCCCATGGACAGAGAAACCTGGTGGGTTACAGTCCATGGATCAATGGGGTCGCAAAGAATCGGACACAACTGAACTACTCACACTTTTCATGGAAACAGAAACTCTCAGGGTCATAGGGGATCACAGGGGACCACTCTGTGCAAGCACTGCTCATCCTTTTCTTGAATGCCTCGAGAGACAGGGAACTCACTCCCTCTAGAGCCCACCTGACTGGCCTTTGGAGCACATTAGAAAAGTCTTTTTTTTTTTCCTCCCTAAGGAAATCTGTCTCCTTTTAATGCAGGTGGCCATAGCATCCAGACCACTGAGATTTATTTTTCCCAGTGACATTTGTAACACTCAAAAGTCCAGTACCCTGTGTCTTCTTTCTTATCCGTCAGTATTTCTGCAATGAGCTTATCTTGAAAGCTGGTTTCTCAGCCTCCGCTCCCAGTGGGAACCCAAGGGGGCACATCCCAACTCCATGCCAGGGGGAGGGATTGGGGAAGTGAGGAGGCTCATTCTCTCAGTAGGAGGTATTGGTTGGGATTGCCCTGTGGCATGGCCTCTGCCTTCAAGGGGCTAAAGAATGTTCTAGACTGAGGGTGGGGGGCAGATTTGCAACTGTAGGGCAAGGATGATTATCAGTGGCCCTCACTGGTGCCATGGGTTCTGATGTTCCCCAAGGAGGTGGGAGTTATAGGAGGCGAGGGGCTGGTTTAAAGGAAAAGCCGTGAGTTCCAAGGTCAGGCAGTTCCCCCAGGACATGGTGCTGCTGGGGGTGGTGCTGACCTTCCAGGCCCGATGCCCAGGACTGCAGGGACTGTTCTGGGAGGAAAGGCACGAGGAAGAATCCAGACCCAGCCAGGGAGTCGGTGGGCATCTGTGGCTCCAACCTGGACCAGGTGACAAGCAAGAGAAGGGTCTCGACCAGGAGTCTGTGCAGTGGGATGGGGTCTCTGAGGCCACCAAGAGGCACGGACCATGCTCGATGCTTCCCGTTCTTCTTGGCCATGAGCTCATGAGTGTGGAAGGGTGGAGAATTGGGTCCTTTTCCAGATGCATTAATACTGCATCATTTTTTTAAAAAGTGTTTTCAAGCAGCTAGAAAGGATGTTGGGTTTCAGAAATGGATGGGGGAGACAGGCACCCCACCGGAGACTGGGACTCAGGATGAGGTGAGGATGAGATCCAGGGCAGCGGGGCATCCAACAGAGGTTTCTTGGCATCTGAGATCTTCTTTCGTGTCCTCCTCTGTGCTCACGTCACTTCAGGACATGCTGGAGAGGGAGAGACATGGTCAAGTTACCGCGATTGGATTTAGAGAAAGTGGAAAGTGTTCCATGTGTGTGGAATTCAAAAGAATGATTTAATCTGGCTTTGGCATGTCCTCAACAGCAAGAGTGGCACCTACCTTGCAAAGTCTGCCACCTGCCATCCATCTTCCAGATGTGGTTCTGAAGGGCACCTTTCTCTTGGTGCCCCAGCCAAAGAGCAGGCCCCAGGGCAGGTGCCCTCAATCAGCCTGGGTCAGGTTTCAGTTAACCCATCTATTCACCATCCTTCCATCCACTTATCCAACTCACTATTCATCCTTCCATCCACTTATCCAACCAACCATCTATCCATCCACACACTCATCCATTCATCCATCCACCCATCCATCCATCCACTTACCCAACTCACCATTCACCCCTCCATCCACTTATCCAACCAACCATCCATCCATCCATACACTCATTCATTCATCCATCTAACCAACCATCCATCCATCATCCATCCATTCATCCATCCATCCACTTATCCAACTCACCATTCACCCCTCCATCCACTTATCCAACCATCTGTCTATCCACACACTCATCCATCCAACCATCCATTTATCCATCCACCCATCTACACATTCATCCATTTATCCATCCATCCATCCACCCAACTAACCATCCATCCATCCACACACTCATCCATTCATCCATCTAACCAACCATCCCTCATCCATCCATGCACTTGTCCAACCAGCCATCCATCTATCCACACACCCATCCATCCATCCAACCATCCATATATCCATCCAATTATCCATCCACATCCATCCAAGCAACTATCCATCCATCCATCCACACACCCATTCAACCCTCCATCCATCGACTTATCCATCACCCATCTACCCATCTGTCCATCTATCCATTGGACCCATCTATCTGTTTATCCACCCACCCATATACTTGTCCATCTACCTATCATCCATCTATACACCAATCTGTCCATCTATCCACTGCTCTCAACCATTCTTTCTATTATGTATTTAATCATTCAAAAAGTACTTGTTTTTTATTATCTCTGCCTGAGGATCCCCGGGGGAGGGGGGCCTAATTCTGCTGTTTGTTGTATCTGACTTTTTTCATGGTGAATGATTTCCTTTTGTGTTTTTTTTTTTTTCATGATTTTATTTTTTTTTTTATTATTATTTTTTTAATTTATTTTTTTCATTTATTTTTATTAGTTGGAGGCTAATTACTTTACATCATTGTAGTGGTTTTTGTCATACATTGAAATGAATTAGCCATGGATTTACATGTATTCCCCATCCCGGTCCCCCCTCCCACCTCCCTCTCCACCCAATCCCTCTGGGTCTTCCCAGTGCACCAGGCCCGAGCACTTGTCTCATGCACCCAACCTGGGCTGGTGATCTGTTTCACCCTAGATAATATACGTGTTTCGATGCTGTTCTCTTGAAACATCCCACCCTCGCCTTCTCCCAGAGTCCACAAGTCTGTTCTATACATCGGAGTCTCTTTTTCTGTTTTGCACATAGGGTTATCGTTACCATCTTTTCCTTTTGTGTTTTGTGTCTGTGGACGGGGACTGATTTTCAGAACACATGGATTGAGATGGTCTTGTTGGAAATGCATTGAGAACTTGCCTCTATTCAGTCTCCAGGGAAGTACTGGTTTAAGACCATTTTTGATGTTTATTTCTCAGCTTGGGGCTTCTTGGGTCACATGGATAGTACTAAGACATGTGGCTGGCCCATGTTACAGATCTGTAGCAGAGAATGTGGTCAAGGATTAACCCTGTACATTCCAAAGAAAAGTCTGGCTCTTTCCCAGCCCCTCGGAGGCCACCTCCATGACCTTGGAATGTTCTTCTTAATAAGAGTATCTCTGTTTGCCTTGGACCTTGGGTCATGCTGGATAGTCTATGCTGACTATTGGCCATGTGGTATCAGCTCAAGCTCTGGAAGGGCTAGAGAGACGAAGGTCAGCCACATGTACAGTCCACTGTGCATATGACTGACCTCCAATAAACACCCTGGACACCAGGGCTCCTGGCGAGCAGCACAGTTTGGTGACACTTGGTGTGCGCCATCACACTTGGCTGCTGGGAGAATAAAGGGCTGTCCCCACGGGTCCCCTGGGAGACAACAGCTGGGAACTCGCACCTGTCTCTCTTTGCCCAGCCCCATACAGCCCTTCCTATTGCTGATTTTGATCTGTACCCACATCCACCCGTCCACTGTGATAAACTATAACCATGAACAGATCTGCTTTGCTGAGTCCTGGGAGTCCTTCTAGGAAACCATGGACCCTGAGGGTGGTCCCCAGGACCCGTGACACACAGGGAGGCTTTTTCTGGCATCTAGAGCTGGGCAGACACACTGAGATAGGTTGTGGGCAGGCATCGCACCCTTCAGCTGAATTAAATCCCAAGTTTCAGGGGTCCTGGCTATGGGTGAATGTCTCAGCCAGGGTCCTCAGTCTGGGACCTCCCATCAATGGCACCCCCTGGAGTTGGGCAGGGACCAGCTGCTCACTCAACCCCAGCGGAGGCCCTGTTGTCAGGGTAACCATGATCTCCCTGCCTCCCTGGTGCAGCATCCTCCCTCCACCACCAAGTCATGGGGTACTCATCCAGGCTAGGTTCCATTTAGAATGTTTCCAAACAAACATGCCAAGAACAACCCGTCCCCCCTCCCCCCGGGCGTCCCACGCACCTCGTTTCCTGATCTTCTGTGGCCAGAGCAGACCTGTGGGGAAAGGAAGGAATCCCAGCATTAGTTGACTGTTTGGGGGGCCTTGGCATTTGGCTGTGAGCACTATGAGGGCCAACACGGCTGCATCCTGATCTGGCACAAAACAAGCATCAGTGTGTGTCTGCTGTGTAACAAATGAGCCAGGACAGGTAGTCACGAGGACGGCCAAGCCCCCTGGCTGCCACAAAGTGAAACCACCAGTGCTGCTCCAGGTCCACCCACCTGGAAGGTGGAACCCATCCACCAGGACCTGCCCAAAGGCCAGCCAGAACCTCTATCTGAGGGCAGATCCTGGTCTCTCAGGCACATCATTTGCCCCTGGTCCCCGTGCGTGGCCTATGATAGATGCAGGGTGGGAGGAGGGGGAGGGAACAGTCCCAAGATACAGCCACTGCCCTCAAAGAGCCCAAGGACAGGAGAAGAAGGGCACAGCAAGCAGCAAAGGCAGGATGTAGATGGCACAGAGACAGGGAAGGAGGGAGGGGCTTCTAGAGACCAAGGAGGGAGTCAGGCCACCTGTCTACACATCCCAGGGTGAGGTACTAAAGGACTTTTATAATAACAGAGAGTCACTGGATTAAAGACAAATGAGGAGGGGGATGGGAATGGAAGCAACTGCTTAGTGGGGTACAGGGTCTCCCTCTGGGCGGAAAGAATGTTTGGGAGAGAGCTGCTGGTTGCCCTAAACTGTTGTTGTTCAGCTGCCCAGTTATGTCTGACTCTTTGCAACCCCATGGATTGCAGCACATTAGGCCTCCCTGTCCTTCACCATCTCCGCAAGTTTGGTCAAACTCATGTCCATTGAGTCGGTGAGGCCCTCCCACCATTTCCTCCTCTGTTGCCCTCTTCTTCTTTGGCCTTCAGTCTTTCCCAGCATCCAGGGCTTTTCCAATGAGTCAGCTCTTTGAATCATGTGCCCAATTATTGGAGCTTCGGCTTCAGCATCAGTCCTTTCAATGAATATTCAGGGTTGATTGCCTTTAGGATGGACTGGTTTGATCTCCTTGCAGTCCAAGGGACTCTAAAGAGATGTACTAAATTCACATTAAAATGGTTTGATGGAGCAGGTCTCATGGTGAACCTTTTTTTTTTTTTTGCTTCACTATGAAGCATACAGGATCTTAGTTTCCAGACCAGGGATTGAACCTGCACCCCATGTAGTGGAAGTGTGGAGTCTTAACCACTGGATCAGCAAGGAAGTCCCAAGGTGGTCTTATTTCAACACCACAGTGACCTCAGATCACTTCATCTGATGTTCTTTGGGCTTGGCAGCTCCTAGCAGGTGTGAGCTCTTGCCCACGGCCACCTGGATGCTTACCTGTCTTCCGCCAGCCCCGCCTCCGCCTTCTCTTCAGACCTGGGCAGGACGTACTCCGGCTGTGGCCTTGCGCTGGGAACAGAAAGAGGTGAGCAGGGGTGACCAGCTGACCAAGTGGGCTGAGGGGCTCTTGGCTCCCATTGCCCCTCCATCTGGGCTGCCGTGACCCGATAGCAATCTGGAAAGGGTTTGCCTGCCCTGGGAAGCACCGGGGCCCAGAGGGTGGAGCAAGTGATGGGATGGTCAGGAATTCATGAAGATGAAGGCCATGGGGAGAAAGAAAGAAAAAAAAATGAGAAAAAAATATATAGAGAGAGACTAAAAAAAGCAGAACAATAATGAAGAATAAAAGATAACAATCCCTGGAGGGTAAAACCAGACTCCAACAGCAAAGTGAGAGAAGAAAAAGAAAAAAATATATATATATATAAAATAAGAAAAATATAAATAAGAGTGATCAGACTAATAACAAAGATTAGAAAATAATAGAATAAGAAGCCACAATCACAGAAAACTAATCAAACTGATTACATGAACCACAGCCTTGTCTAACTCAATGAAACTATGAGCCATGCTGTGCAGGCCTAGGCAAGACAGACAGGTCACGGTGGAGAGTTCTGACAAAACGTGGTCCACTGGAGAAGGAAATGGCAAATCACTTCAGTATTCTTGCCTTGAGAACCCCATGAACAATATGAAAAGGCAAAAAGATATGGCGCTGAAAGATGAACTCCCCAGGTTGGTAGGTGCCCAATATGCTACTGGAGAAGAGTGGAGAAATAACTCCAGAAACAATGAAGAGATGGAGCCAAAGCAAAAACAACCCCCAGCTGTGGATGTGACTGGTGATGGAAATAAAGTCCAATGCTGTAAAGAACAGTATTGTATAGGAACCTGGAATGTTAGGTCCATGAATCAAGGTAAATTGGAAGTGGTCAAACAGGAGATGGCCAGAGTGAACATAGACATCTTAGGAATCAGTGAACTAAAATGGACTGGAATGGGCAAATTTAACTCAGATAACCATTATATTTACTACTGTGGGCAAGAATCCCTTAGAAGAAATGGAGTACCCCTCATAGTCAACAAAAGAGTCCCAAATGCAGTTCTTGGGTGTAGTCTCAAAAATTACAGAATGATCTCTGTTCATTTCCAAGGCAAAACTTTCAATATCACAGTAATCCAAGTCCATGCCCCAACTACTAATGCTGAAGAAGCTGAAGTTGAATGGTTCTATGAAGACCTATAAGACCTTCTAGAACTAACACCCAAAAGAGATGTCCTTTTCATTATAGGGGACAGGATGCAAAAGTAGGAAGTCAAGAGATACCTGGAGTAACAGGCAAGTTTGGTCTTGGAGTACAAAATGAAGCAGGGCAAAGGCTAACAGAGTTTTTCCAAGAGAACGCACTGGTCATACCAAACACCCTCTTCCAACAACACAAGAAATGAGGCTACATGTGGACATTACCAGATGGTCAATACCGGAATCAGATTGATTATATTCTTTGCAGCCAAAGATGGAGAAGCTCTATATAGTCAGCAAAAACAAAACCTGGAGCTGACTGTGGCTCAGATCATGAATTCCTTATTGTAAAATTCAGACTTAAATTGAAGAAAGTAGGGGAAACCACTAGGCCATTCAGATATGGCCTAAATCAAATCCCTTACAATTATACAGTGGAAGTGACAAATAGACTTAAGGGATTAGATCTGATAGAGTGCCTGAAGAACTACGGATAGAGGTTCGTGACATTGTACAGGAGGCAGTGATCAAGACCATCCCCCCAAAAAATAAATGCAAAAAGGCAAAATGGTTGTCTGAGGAGGCCTTACAAATAAGGCCTACAAATAGCTACAAATAGCTGTGAAAAGAAGAGAAGTTAAAGGCAAAGGAGAAAAGGAAAGATATACCCATCTGAATGCAGGGTTCCAAAGAAGAGCAAGGAGAGACAAGAAAGCCTTCCTCAGTGATCAATGCAAAGAAATAGAGGAAAACAACAGAATGGGAAATAGAGATCTCTTCAAGAAAATTAGAGATACCTAGGGAATATTTCATGCAAAGATGGGTGCAATGAAGGACAGAAATGGTATGGACCTAACAGAAGCAAAAGATGGCAAGAAAAGGTGGCAAGAATACATGGAAGAACAATACAAAAACGATCTTCATGACCCATGGCTTTACTGTGCAGAGGACATGGGCCAGGCCCCAGGAGGCTCCCCAGGGACCTGGGCAGGGGAACACCAGATGGATTCCCCTCTCTTCCATACCCGGAGGGACCCCTGCTCTGTCTCCCTTCTCCCCTGCACCCGAAGGACCTACAGGGGCAGAGGGTGCCCTTGGGGGTGTCCCTGGAGGACAGAGGGGGTCCCAGAGAGTGGAGGGGGCCCAGAGGGAGGCGGGCCCTGGAGGATGGAGGGGGCCCTGGGAAGGAGGAGGGAACCAGAGGATGGGGGGGTTCCCAGATGGTGGAGGGCCTTTGGAAGGGAGAAGGAGGGGGCATGCAGAGGATGGGGACCCTAAAGGGTGGAGGGTTTCCTGGATGGTGGAGGGCTTGGCCTGGAGGGAGGAGAGCCCTTGAGGGCAAGAGGGGAACCCCGCGGAGCAGAGGGCCCAGTCCAGAGAACAGACTGGGGTCCCCAGAGGGATGAGGGGTCTCCAGAGGCTTAACAGGAGGGAAAGGGGCAGGGCACAACTTTTGAAAGAATGACGTAGCCCAAGGACACAACATAAACCAATAAAAATCAAATAGGTCCAAGATGGGAGAGAAGTGGACTCTGATTAGACCTTGATCCTCGATCTGCAAGCTCAACGACACACCCAGAGGCACCGCGACAGTTCCAAGGCACTGTCAAAACACCAGGATTTCCTGGAAATCTCCACCCTTTCCCCCAAAATAGTCGGAATAATCCTCCTACTCGTTAGCCTATGAAATTACCCACCCTATAAAAACTAACCACACCACATTCCACGGCCGCGCGTGCCCTCTGCAAAGGCCCACACTCTGTTGACTGCACTTCTCTCTGCATCTGAGTAAACCCACCTCTTACCTGTCACTTTGTCTCTCACTAAATTCTGCGGTGAGACATCAAGAACCCGAGTTTCATTAGGTCCTGAAACAAGGCACTGTGGGTTTTGGCTGGGTTTGAGTCCCAATCCGACATAAATGGTTTCAGAGGGAGGAGGAAACTGGAAAGCAGGAAGCGGAGGGGGACCTGGGGGGTGAGCCCCGGCGGGGGGATGAGGCCGGAAGAGCGAAGGTGCTCCTGAAGGGTGGAGGGCTCAACCTGAGGGCCTTAGGAGGCTCCCCAGGGCCGAGCCCCCACCGTCATCAGCATCATTAGAAGGACTCTACCGAGCCCACTATTTTTGCCCAGTGGGTTACACTGGTCCTAATTCCTCATGATAACCCACAGGATGGCTGTGAATTTTTCACTTGCCTAATGTTATGCTGAGACTGAGCAGGGGAGCCTGGATTCTAGCCTGGGTCTGACTCCAGTCCCTCTAGAGAAGGCAGGGCTTTAAAGGAACCACATGTGTGCATGACATGGGTCCCAACTGAGTTGAAGCTGCCGGCTTCCCCCAGCCGTGACCCAGCTCAGAGCCAGCCCCAACCCGGTCAGAACACGGGCCGCTCCGCACAGACCTTTCTCTCCTGGCCTTCAGCCGTTCCTCTTCGTACCTGGAAGAGAGAAAAAGAAGAAGGCTTAAGAGGTAGCCTGGGAATTCCCTCCCCTCTGGGAACAGGAAAGCAGTCTCACTGTCACATCTGAGCACCAGGCTTCAGAGCAGACAGGATAGCCTGCAGCTACTTTACAAAGCCCCACCTCACCCCATCCCAGGGCAGGGATAGATGTTTTACTGGCATATTCCAGTGTCTGGTGTCACTGCAACTCAGCAGACATTTCTAGCATCTGCCCTAAACAAGTCCAGGATAAAGCAATTAATTATTAATGTGGCTTTGTCTACAGACGCCCCACCCTCCCACAAAGGGCCAGAGAGTCAATATTTTCGGCTTTTCAGACCAGTCTCTGTGGCAACCCCTTGATTCTGTTGTAGCTCGAAAGCAGCCGTGGATGGTTTGTAAATGGACAAGTATAGCTGTGTTCCAATAAAACTTTATTTACAAAGACAAGCCAGGGCCAAGGACTCACTGGCCCCTCCGCCTGCACTAGAGGGGCCAGGTCCACTGTGTTCTGTCATTTCACAGGTGCCTGTTTCACTCTGTTTCCCTTTGTCCTGCTCTCCCACTCAGGTCTGGTTCTCTGGAAGCCTGACCGGGTGAAGCATGGGTGGTTGGGAGATGAGCAACCCTGGGGATGATGGGGATGGAGGTGGGGCAGTGCTCCCACGGCACAAGACACTCACTGTAGCACGCAGTCTGGGATCTGCACGTGCTCCATGGGGATGAGCTGCTCCAGATCTTCCAAGCTGTGCACATACTGGATCTTGTTGATGAACTTGACGCTGGTGGGAGAAGGAGGGACACGTCTGAAAGCAAGCCCTTGGGGTGGTGACTCAGGGTCAGAGGGAGTGATGGCAGGCAGGGATGTACACACAGCCCTATTCCAGGATGCCCCAGCACACTCACCCAACCTCCCTCTCAGCCCATGCCAGACCTTACCCCCTACCCCTAGTGCAGGTACAGAGCAGAACCTGGGGTCTCTGCCTGCAAGAAGGGAGGGCTCCTGAGCCATGTGTCTGAAACCAGTCCCCGCTGAGCAGAGAGTTGTTGTTCAGTCCCTCAGTTGTGTCTGACTCTGTGATCCCATGAACTGCAGCACACCAGGCCTCCCTGTCCTTCACTATCTCCCTGAGTTTGCTCAAACTCACATCCACTGAGTCAGTGACACCATCCAACCATCTCATCCTCTGTCACCCTCTTCTCCTTCTGTCTTCAATCTTTCCCAACATTAGGGTCTTTTCCAATGAGTTGGCTCTTTCCAACAGGTGGCCAAACTATTGGAGCTTCAGCTTCAGCATCAGTCCTTCCAGTGAACATTCAGGGTTGATTTCCTTTAGGACTGACTGGTTTGATCTCCTTGCTGTCCAAGGGATTCTCAAGAGTCTTCTCCAGCACCACAACTTGAAGGCATCAATTCTTCGGCGCTCAGCCTTCTTTTTGGTCCAACTCACATCCGTACACGACTACTGAAAAAACCATAGCTTTGACTATATGGACTTTTGAGCAGAGAGGGAAGGAAGGAAGAAAGCAGAGAGGAACGAGTTGCTATTAATACCAGACTCCAGGCTCCATCTTCCCCAGGAGGTGCTCCTCTGTCAATCTCCCCACAATCATCACTGTCTGGTGGCACCAGTAGTCACTTGGGCATGAGACAGGTGCATGTGGGGACTGCTGATTCATCCTCTGTTCTTCCAGGGTGAATGGCTTCTTCCCATCCAAATCCAGCTCTGGCCACTGGCTGCTACTGACGTGACTGGTCACCAGCTTGGGGCTTTGAACTCGTGATTTTTTAAAAAAAATTACCTTAAATCTAATTTTGGTACAATGTCATATAAACTCCTTTTGAAGGTCAAATCAATTTTTCTAACAATGAGTTACATTCTCTAAGGCTAAGAGAAAGTCACTGTATAATAAGTCATAAAATAATCCAATAGGGACTTCTCTGGTGGTCCAGTGGATAGGACTCCGAGCTTCCACTGCAAGGGGCCTGGGTTCGATCCCTGATTGGGGAACTAAGAACCTACATGTTGAGAAACATGGCCAAAAAGTAAAATAATAAAAAATAAAAAAAGGAACTAAAGAGCCTCTTGGTAAAGGTGAAAGAGGAGACTGAAAAACCTGGCTTGAAGCTCAACGTTAAAAAAAACTAAGATCATGGCATCTGGTCCCATTGCTTCATTGCAAACAGAAGGGGAAAAAGTGGAAGCAGTGACAGATTTTATTTTCTTGGGCACCAAAATCACTGCGGATGATAACTGCAGCCATGAAATTAAAAGACGCTTGCTCCTTGTAAGGAACGCTATGACAAAAATCTAGACAGTGTGTTAGAAAACACAGACATCACTTTGCCGACAAAGGTCCAAGTAGTGGCCATATCACATGGTATGAGGGATCTTAGTTCCCCCACCATGGATGGAACCCAAGTCCCCCTGCACTAGAAGCACAGAATCTTAACCACTGGACTGCCAGGGAAGTCCAATTTTAAGCTGCGTAAAGCAACAATATAGACTCCCCAGACAGGAGCTGGAAAATGCTGATTGGAAAAAAAAAAGACGGATATCCAGACTCAGATCACGATCTCACCTGATGAAAGGGCGGGAGATGGCCAGAACGGTGCGGATGAACCAGGATGGGTGGACGATGATTAAGGACTTCAGGTTTTTCCGAAGTCTGTGTGGGGAGGCAGAGAGAGCAATATGGGCTCCCTGGGGGAAAAGCCCTGGGGAGGGAGCAGCTAACGGGTGTCACCCACTCTGTGAGCCCAGGCGGTGCTCTGGGGAGAAGACTGAGTCTTGGTTAAGCTAAGCCCACCCCCTCCACCCCTTGCAGAATCTGCAGGTGGCAGAGCTGATGTCTGGCCCCGGAACCTGGCTCCCTCTTTAGATTCTGAGCATCTGACCGTGTGGCCATGTGCATGTGTAAGTCACTTCAGTCGTGTCCAGCTCTTTGTGACTCCATGAACTATGGTCCACTAGGCGCCTCTGTCCATGAAATTCTCCAGGCAAGAATATTGGATGGAGCTGCCATGCCCTCCTCCAGGGGATCTTCCTGACCCAGGGATTGAACCCACGTCTTTTACATCTCCTGCATTGGCAGGTAGGTTCTTTACCACTAGCGCCACCTGGGAAGCCCTTGCGGGGGCCACATCACTTCTCATTCCTGAAAGATTTTCTAGGGCCCCCAGTTCTAAGCACCTGTTATGGGCATGTTGAACTGCAGCCCTCTTTGTTTGGGAACAGGATCACTGCAGGGCTCTAGCTAAGGTGAGATCATATCCCAGCAGGGTCTTCCCCCTAATGCACACTCACTGGGGTGTCCTTATAAAAGGGGGCATTTGCACATAGGCGTGCACAGGGGCTGTTCTCCCTCACAGATCCAGAAGGAACCGACCTTGCAGACAACTTGACCAAGGACTTCCAGCTTCCAGAAGTAGGGGACGACATACATCTGCCGTTTAAGCCACCCATTCTGGCGCTTTGTTATGGCCGCCCCAGACTCGCCCTTTCAGAGTCGGAGGGACTTCAGTGCTCGGGTCCCGGGGCACACTGAGGCCGTCCCCCAGCCCCATGCACTCACCTCCTGTCGATCATCTGATAGCACTTTTTCAGCCAGCCAATGCCTGGCATCCTCCGCCGGGGCGTGGCGCCGTTCAGGTACACAATCATGTAATCTTCCGCCACGAGGAGCTCCAGGCTGCTGATGACGTACCTGGTCACGGGGCACAGAGGACCGGGGACCCGGCAAGACTGGCTCAGAGTCAGGAAGCCCAGTTCCCCGGACTAAGCCCTGTGGCCCCCGTTCTCTCTCTTTCCACCTGCCCTGGCTGTGTCACACCTGTTTAGGTGTCGTTGGCTGTCCTGACATGCTTAGCCGGATAGCGGGGGAGGGGAGCAGAGGACTCCCAAACACCCCCCAAACCTGGGTCAGCGAGCACAATGATAGTAGTAGTTACTATCTTACTGAGGAGTTTTGTTTGTTTTTTTTAAAAAAATTGAGTCCCTTGGACTGCAAGGAGATGAAACCAGTCGATCCTTAAAGGAAATCAACCCTGAACATTCGTTGGAAGGACTGATGCTGAAGCTGAAGCTCCAGTACTTTGGTCACCTGATGGGAAGAGCCCACTCATTGGAGAATACCCTGATGCTGGGAAAGATTGAATGCAGGGGAAGGGGACCACAGAGGATGAGATGGTTGGAGGGCATCACCAACACAATGGACATGAATTTGAGCAAACTCCAGGAGACAGTGGAGAACGGGTAAGCCTGGCGCCCTGCAGTCCATGGAGTCGCAAAGAGTTGGACACAACTTAGCAACTAAACAACAATTTTTTTGAGTGTTTACTAGGTGCCAAGTGATTTATACTCTTGAACTCATCTAATGTCTCCATTAATTCTGGAATGTAAGTTTAAACAGCCCCAAATGCCCTTGGAGGACAGGTACCCACAAACAGTGGTCCACTGCACCTGACTTTAGGGACCTGGGGTCCATCCCAGCTGTGTCTCCCCCTAAGTGATTTCCAAGAATCCTCTCCTCTTTCAGCCTCCACTTCCCCATCTGTAAATCAGGGAGACTGGGCTCCCTGGTAAGTCAGGCCACTTTCTGATCTGACTGTCCATGGGTACTTCCTCTTCCTCTGGCCCACCTGGCACCCTCATCCCTTGAGGAAGAAGGAAATCTTCCTAATAATGAAAATTGAAGTGGTAACGATTTGCTGAACTCTTACTGTCATCTGCCAGGTATTTTTTATTTTTTTTTGCCACACCAGGAGGCATATAGGATCTTAGTTATCCGACCAGCAATCAGACCCATGGCCCTGCATTAAGAACCCGAGGAAGGCGTGGTCTTAACCACTGGACACCAATGGAGTCCCACCAGGTGCTTTATGCTTAATTATCTGTCTCTATCCTAGCAAAACTGTACCTGTGTGTCCTTGGGCAAGTGACTTAACCTCTCTGTGCCTTAAGCACTGCAGCCACAGAATGGGAGGCAACTGTAACTACCCCACAGGGTCTTGTTGGGGATGGAACATGTTCTCACGTACAAAGCCCTTAGCATGTGGCTACCACAGTGGGCATGCATGCTCAGTTACTTCAGTCGAGTCTGATTCTGTGCTACCCTATGGACTAGGGCCTGCCAGGATGCTCTGTCCATGGGATTCTCCGGCAAGAATACTGGAGTGGGTTGCCATGTCCTCCTCCAGGAGATCTTGCCAACCCAGGGATCAAGCCCAGATCTCTTGTGTCTCCTGCATTGGCGGGTGGATTCTTTCCCACTGAGCCACTGGGGAAGCCCACCCCATACATGCTCCATAAATGCTAGTGATGATGACAACAGCACCAGTGAGGCCCAGCGGGCGAGCAGAGGACTCAGATGCAGGTCTGCCCGTGGTCCAGCCCTTCCCTGGTGCCGGGCAGAACCACCCAATGTGGTCCTTGCTGCCTGTCCTGCCCACCGGCTGGGAACCTCAGACCTGTGGACAGCTGGGATGGAGCGGCCAGGTCACTTACAGGAAGAGGTTCTCCATGATGTAGTGGTAGTCGGGGGAGCTGCTGTCCGGGAGGAAGCAGGCGGCAAAGACGATAATGGCATTGAGACCTTCGCCGTAGTACCCTGGGGAGAGGCAGCTGGTGAGCAGCCCTGGACAGGGCTGGGCAGAGCCCTCCCAGTTCTGAGTTGCCCTGTGCTCTGCCCCATGCGTGTGTCTCATAGCTGGCCGGCCCCCTCCCACCTACTGCCCATACTCAGAGGAGATAGCTCTGAGCCTCAGCAGCCTGGCTACAGAAGCCAGAAAACACCTTCCATGGGGGGATGCCAGCCACCATCATGAGCACCTCTGGTGTGCCCCCAGGCGTCTAAGCCTTGCCCCCATGTGAGTTTTATCCCTGCACACCTGGAAACTACAGCTTAACATCCCCCTGGCTCAGAAGAAGAGACCGAGGTTCAGAGGACTGCTGCTGGGCCCTCCAGTTGTCGGAGCCGGGAAGGGGCCCTCGGGGCATGGGCTCACCTCCGTGGGTCACCACCCTCATGTAGGGCCGGATCATGTGTAGATCGATCCGGTGTTCCTGTTCCCCAATGATCACCGTCCTCCACAGACGCCCGTTGGCTGCGCTGCCATCCTCCGCCGAACCGTCCCCAAACAGATCCGCGCTGTCCCCGGGCATGTTCTTGGCGGCGGCCACGGGGGTGTCATCTGGAGGAGGGCAGCAGGGAGGGTGAGCAGGAGGGATGCCTGAATCTGGACATCTTGTCCCAGCCTCCCTCTCTGGGCTGCCTTGGCCACCCGTGGCCACAGAGCCTCTTACTCTCCTCCCCAGGCCAGAGGAAGACCACTCATCTCATCCTTTTTCTGGGTAGAACCCCTTTCTTGCTGTGTGAGCTTGCACACATTTTTTCCCTCTCTGGGCTTCTCGGGGGTTGTTAACCACTCTTGAAATTATCTGTCTCTTGCCCATCTGTCACCCTGCAATCTTCCTGCCTCAGAAAATAGCCTGACTGTTTTCCCAGCTGCTCAAGCCCCAAACTCAGCTACCATCTTAGACCTCTTTCCCCTTCATATTTCACATCCACCCAACAAATGCTGTGCCTCTGCTTCCATCCCCATGGACACCACCATTGCTACCTTTTTGAAAAGTACTTATGTGGTTGTGCCCTCTTAGTTGCAGCATGCAGGATCTTTAGTTGCAGCATGCAGGATCTTTAGTTGCAGCATGCAGAATCTAGTTTCCTGACCAGGGATCGAACCTGGGCCCCCTGCATTGGGAGCATGGGGTCTTAGTCACTGGACCACCAGGGAAATTCCCTGTTGCTATCTTTCTGACCTGTGTTCTTGCCTTGGAATATCAGCTCCAGTAATACCCACCCAGCGAGGCCAGTCCCGACAACCCTGCAGAAGAACCCTCCCCACCCTAGGAAGCCTGGTTCAGGGTGTCTTGGGCTGGACATTTAGGGCCAGTCACTGTCTGTGGGGGGTGTCCCGGGCACTACAGGATGTGGAGCAGAATCCCTGATCCCACCCCCTCGATGCCAGGATCCCCCCAGTTGTGACAACCACAGATGCCCCCAAACGTGGCCCAGTGTCCCGTGGGAGGGTTGAATTGCCTGAGTGAGCCCCCCCTGCCCTCTCCCATCACCTATTTCTCCCACACCACCACCGACCAGGTGCAATTACCTTGTATCCATTTGTTCTGTTAACCCAGAGCCCCGCTTTCTGACTGCCCTGAGAGCAGGCAGGCACCATGTTTTCCTGACGGGTCCCTGCCCTCTCTACCCTACCCCCACACAGCAATCAAGACCCTCTCCACAGACACCTGTGGAATCAGGGGGTGGCCCCTCCTGGTCTTGATCACCTTTGATCAAGCGAATTGGGTGAAAGACACGTCTCCCAGCAAAGTCCACAAGTCCATGAGAAAATGCACGTGGAGTCCCAGGGCCTGTTTTGGGAGTCTTGGGTTGGAAGCCCCACTCCAGGACTTCCCTGGTGAGCCGGTGGTTAAGACTCCATGCTTCCAATGCAGGGGGAACAAGTTCCATCCCTGGTCTGGGAACTAAAATGCTACACAGCGTGGCCAAAAGAGAACCCCAAAAAACAATAAAAGAAGCCCTGCCTACCTTGAACCTCTGGGGAGGGAGGAGGGGGGACTCTGGCAAGATGGCCCCAGAAGCCAAGAGGAGCACTGGGGTCCAATCTGGGGGTCGGGTAGAGATGGTGAGTGACCAACCTTACCTTCCCACTCCAGCTCATTGCCGTTCCCTAGGAACTCCAGTGAGTCAGTCTCATCAGGGGTCTCGATGTCATCCACGTTGATGTCCAGGTCATCGGGGGTGTCCAGGAAGTCATCTGACAGCAGGGAGCCCTCACTCTGGTCCAGGGAAATGTTGATCTCAGGGGCCACCAGCGTCTTTCGCTTACGATGAGCCCCGTTGAAGTTCAGCGTGTTGGGAGGGGCTGTGGGGGAAAGGGAAAACGGAAAGTCAAAGCAAATCCAGATCAGTCGCTTGTTTTTTCTTCCCCTTCTCCTGTTCCAGACCCTCCAGAGATCTGCTCTGCCCTGCCATGGGGAGTGCTTAGAAATCAAACAACATCCTTTCACAGCAGCGGTTAATGGAACCATCCAGCTCGGAGGTCAAGGGCAGACACTTGGACGTTGGACAGTCCTGGGTTCAGAGCCTGACCTTGCTACCCACCAGCTCTGTGACCCTGCAGTGCCACCTTGCTCTGAGCTTGATTCAGTTTTACCATCTGCAAAATGAGACTCACAGGTGAGTCGAGTCAAGGTCAAATGATGACATGGGGATTAGACCCCAGGCAGCCTGGTCTCCAGATCGAGCTCCAGCCCTGCCAGTATCTGCGCCTTTTTTTCCTTCTGGCTAAGGCTGATGGAGAATGTCCGAGTTCTGCTTTTGCCTTTCTGGGATGTGTGACTCTAATAATTAACTTTTAGGGATCACATAACACAGGCCAGGCCCTCTGCCAAGCCCTAGCCCACGTTTTCATGTTCCGACTTCTCTAGACAGATATGTGTGCTCAGTTGAGTCTGACTGTTTTCCACCCCATGGACTGTAGCCTGCCAGGCTCCTCTATCCATGGGATTCTCCAGGCAAGAATACTGAAGTAGGTTGCCCTGCTGTCCTCCAGGGGATCTTCCCGACCCGGGGATCGAATCTGTGTCTCTGGTGTCTCCTGGATCTCCTGCATTGGCAGGAGTCAGTTGCAGCCTTGCTACTGCCCCGTTGGACAGGTGAGTAAACTGAGGTACAGGGAGGCAGGATCTTCCCATGTCACTCTGAAGCCCGTGGGGGTGGATATTCCCCATGGCTTGGACCACTTCCTCCTAAAGACTCTTAGCCTGGACTCTGGTCTCCTTATAAAAGGTGGTTTCACCTCCTGGGCTGCCCTCAAGGGGTTAAAACCATCTAACAGCCCTTGGAGCAGAGGTAACCCCTCAGGCTTATGGGGTTTACAAGGGGAGGAGAGCCACCCCCTCCCCCAAAGGCAGCTCTGGGAAAAGAGGCTGACCTTCCAGAGACCCCAGAAATTCTCCCTGTTTCATTACACAGCCTTTGAAGACAAAATCAATAGACCAGTAGGAGAGTCCCTCACCAACTCAACGGACATGAGTCTGAGCAAACCCCAGAAGATAGTGAAGGACAGGGGATCCTGGTGTGCTGCAGTCCGTGGAGTCGCAGAGAGTTGGACACAACTGAGCGACTGAACAACATCAAGGAGAATCTCACCCCTCTTTTATACTGGATGACATTCATAGATCCGTAATTAAATGGACCACATGTTTTTTAAAGTATTTATTTTTATTTATGTATTTGACTGTGCTAGGTCTTACTTGCAGCATGTGGGATCTAGTTCCCTGACCAGGGATTAGACCTGTGTCCCCTCCCTGCATTGGGAGCTTGGAGTCAGCCACTGAACCACCAGGGAAATCCTTGGACTACCTCTTTTTTTTTCATTTTGAATCTCATTTTTTTTTTCCACTTTGAATCTCTCGATCCCTAAGCAACAGGTCAGACTGCTTCAAGAGACACTGTGGGATAGAAATATGCATTTTGGCAGACCATTATAAAGATGCAAGTTACAGACCTCCCTGGTGGTCTAGTGGTTAGGAATCTGCCTGCTAGGGAAGATCCCACATGCCTCAGATCAACTAAGCCGGAGCACCACAATTACTAAGCCTGCAGTCTAGAGCCTGTGCTCTGCAACAAGAGAAGCCACAGAAATGAAAAGCCTGCATACTGCAAATAGAAGAGTAGCCCCCGCTTGCTGCAACTAGAGAAAGCCCTTGCACAGCAATGAAGGCCTAGCACAGCCAAAAATAAATAAATAAATACAATGAAAAAAAAAAGTAATAAAAAACCCCGTAAGTCACATTTACCGAGTGTCTGCTATGTGTGAGGCACTGGCATAATTTCCTGCTCTCACCATGACTTTGTGTGGTGGGAAATATTACCAATTTTACAGATGGGGACGTTGAGGCAGGGACATTCCCAGGGAAGGACCTTCCTAGTTCTCTCAACTTACCCTGCCTTTTTCACGGGAAGTGTGTTGGGAGCAGTGAATCAGGCATGCTTGATTTAAAATACTGCTTAACCTGGTGGTCCAGTGCTTAAGAATCTGTCTTTCAGTGCAGGGAATTTTGTTTGATTCTGGCTTCCCTGGTGGCTCAGATGGTAGAGAACCTGCCCACAATGCAGGAGACCGGAGTTCAATCCCTGGGTCAGGAAGATCCCCTGGAGAAGGGCATGGCAACCCACCCCAGCATTCTTGCCTGGAGAATTCCACGGACAGAGGCGCCTGGCGGGCTGCAGTCCATGGGGTCGCAAAGAGTTGGACATGACTGAGTGACTATTTTCATTCATTCATTCTTCCAGGAACTAAGATCCCACATGCCATGGGACAAATAAGCCTGTGCACCACAACTAAGACCCAACCCACCCAAAGAAATAAATATGTTAAAAAGAATACTGCTGCTTTTGCTGGTGGGATCAGTTTGTGGATCCCAGCATGGTGACTGCAAGATTGAAAATGCAGGGAACCTCTGAGGCAGTAATGTCACCACATGGACCCAGAGGAAAGGGCACTGAACCAAAGAGGATGATTCTTCAGCCTTAAAATGTAATGGAATTTGCCTTTAAAAAAAATCTAGTGGAATTTGCCCTGCCAAATTTCAGACTCGCTGGGACTCATGAACCCTTCGTCTTTCCAATTTCTCCCATTTGCAGTGGGAATATCTATTGTGTGCCTGTCTCACCTTTGTACTTTGGAAGCAGAGAAATTGCTTGACTTCGTAGGTTCACAGTTGCAGAGGAATTTTGCCCCAGGATGAATCATACCTGAGTTCCCTGCCCTGATGCCCCCATAACTTGAACCCTTCAACTGATTAAATGTGACCCACCCATACAATGACAGGCAATCTGCTTTATTCAAAGTGCATGAATTTAAATATAAATCTCATTTAGAAAACACCCTCAATGGAAGTATCTAGAATCATGTTTGATCATGTAGCTGGCTACCATGGGCCAATCAAGTGAATCCATGCAATTAATGATCACATCCCCCATCTCAAATTTCTTAAAAATTTGTTTAAATTAATTAATTTATTTATTTGCTTATTTATTTTTGCCTGCACTGGGTCTTGTTGCTGCATGCAGGCTTTCTCTAGTTGCAGCAAGCAGGGGCTACTCTCTAGTTGCGGTGTGCAGGCTTCTCACTGAGGTGGGTTCTCTTGTTGCTGAGCACGGGCTCTAGAGTGTGGGCTAGGTAGTTGTGGTGCATGGGTTTAGTTGCTCCACAGCATGTGGGATCTTCCCGGATCAGGGATTGAACCCATGTCTCCTGCATTGGCAGGTGGATTCTTTACCACTGAGCCACCAGGGAGGTCCCTCAAGTTCCTTAACTTAATCCTATCTGCAAAATTGCTTTTGCCACCTGAGGGAACACTCGTGGTTTCCTAGAATTAGAATCTGGATTCCTTTGGGGGCCATCATTGAGGCAGTCACACCTAGGAAGTGAGGTACTGTTACCACACACCCCTCGTTTTACAGAAGTGGGAAGCAGAGGCCCAGAGGGGAGAAGGGAGTCACCCAAGGTCACCCTGTAGGGATGTGACAACACTGGGAAGAGAATATATGCTCAGGTGGAAAAATGTCTGGTGCTCTAGGGTGACCAGCCATTCAGATCCATAAAGTTTGACCCCAGAGAACTGGGACAACTTGATCCCCTTACCTGGCTCATGGGCATAGTATGCTACGGGGGTAGGCAGAGTTGGTACTCGCTGCTGTGTGACCTCAGGGATGTGGCTGTCCCTCTCTGAGCAGTCCTTCCCCTCTAGGGTGGGCTCTGTGACGGGCTGCATGGGGGAGATGCAGGCAGAGTGGGAACTCTCAGCAGGACTCTGCCAGGAGATGACATCGAGGAGAACATGTGTTTGGCGTAGCCCATCTGGCTGCCCTAGACCTCCTGTTTTCAAAGTCTAGGCCTTTGGGTCCTCAGACCCATGAGCCCTCTTGAGTGCTCAGGGCAGGAGAGCCCCCTGATTTTATGCCTGGCATTCCCCTGGGCACTTTACATAAATCATCTCATTTAATCCTTGTATACCCCTTCTGTGGAAGGCTCACTACCTGCATTTAGTACATAAGGAATTGGAGGCACACAGAGGCTGAGCCACCAGTTCAAGGACACACAGCAACACCACACACTGACTTCACGATGGTGACCACACACATCTCTGGGTCACCACTACAGTTGCTTCTCCCTACAGGCCTTGGAGCTGAACAACCCCCTTTTGTGACATTCCACCCAGGAGGCATGGCCTCTGACATTTCTACAGTTACAGTCCCGGGCAGAGCCCAGATCGTGTACCCATTTCTGCACACATGGAAACTTACAGGACGTGTCTTCTGTGGGGCTGCCAAGCAAGTCCATCCCCGTCTCTTCCGGGAGTGGCCTGCAGACCCAGCCGGGAGTGGACGCCAGCCACCAGGCACCACAAGTCCAGCCGCAGAAGCGTGGAGTTCAGACAGAATGATAGCAACAGAATTTGTTTAGTTTTGGGAAATCATTGGGAGAAAATACATCTGTTCATGAGCATAGAAAAATCACACACCATCAGCGCCAGAGGGCTCTCATCAGGACATCTAACAAATATTAAGTCTTTTTTTATACTTTTTTTTTGATGTGGACCATTTGTTGGGCTTTCCTGGTGACTCAGATAGTAAAGAATCAGCCTGCAATGCAAGAGACCCGGGTTCGATCCCTGAATCAGGAAGATCCCCTGGAGGAGAGCATGGAAACCCACTCCAGTATTCTTGCCTGGAGAATATCATGGATAGAGGAGCCTGGTAGGCTGCAGCCCATGGCGGGGCAAAGAGTCAGACATGACTGAAGCCTCTAACATACACACATATTGAATTTGTTACAATATTGCTCCTTTTTTTTTTTTTAGTGTTTTTATTTATTTATTTTTTTGCCGCATGTGGGATCTTAGCTTTCCCACTAGGGATAGAACACTTGCCCCTGCATTGGAAGGTGAACCAGGAAGTCCCATAAACCTTTTTTTTGGATAGTAAAAGCTGGGGCCTAGAGAAAAGGAGGGTCTCATTTATATTATATTTGGAATATAAACAGCATTCTTCACGGGCTGACCCCACAGGGGTCTCCGATGAGCCAGAAATTGTCCAATAGACAAAGCAGACAACTGAGAGAGCTCTCCATGGCCCATGCTGGACAGGCCTGACCAACAAAACATATCATGAAGTATTGGCTGGTGATTCAAAGTACAAAATAAAACATCCACGAGTCCATACAGAAGTAAGCAAGTGACTGAATAAATAAACATGGGGAGAAGAGACAAATTTTTCTTGCACAGAAGAATTTCAAATAATGTATGTAAATTCTCTATCCCCAAGAAGATGGAGAGTAACTTCTTCTCTGTAAGCATGAGTTGGGCACGGTGACTTCCTTCCAAAGGGGACAGTATGGGAAGAAGGGAGGCGTGACTCTACAGTGGAGACACCTGACCAGCACGACCTCAGCCCGGGGATGCAGGTCAACACCAAGGAAGAGTCATGCTGATGACAGGCACCCGAAGATGATGGATGAGACGGCTCCTCACCTGTGTCCTCCTCTCCACACCCAGCGCCCCAGTGTCACCGTGAGAAAAACACCAGATAAACTCCCATAGAGGAAAGTTCTACAAAATCTCTGACCCCAGTCCTCCTCAAAGCTGTCAAGGGCATCAACAACAATGAAAGTCTGTGATGGACCTCCCTGGAGGTCCAGTGGTTAAGACTTCACCTACCAATGCAGGGGGCAAGGGTTCGATCCCTGGGGAGCTATGATCCCACATGCCTCCTGGCTAGAAAACCAGAACTTAAAACAGAAGCAGTGTTGTAACAAATTCAATAAAGAATTTTAAAATGGTCTACATCAAAAATCTTTTTCTTTTTTAAAGTCTGAGAAATGGTCACAGCCCAGAGAAACCTAAGGAGACATCATGACTAAATGTTACATGGGATCTTGGGTGGGATCCTAGGAAAGAAAAAGAATATTAGGAGAAAATTACTATGGATATCACAATAAATTGTGGACTTTGGTCAATAATGACATATCAATACCATTCTATTAATTGTAATATAGAGATCAGTCTCATGTAAGATGTTAATTATAAGAGTGGTGTGTTCGGAAGTTTTCTGTAATATTCTTGCAATTTTTCTGTAAATCTAAAGCTACTAAAAAGTAAAATTTTAAAAAGAGAAAGGCAGCCAGCTATGCATCTGTGCCCCTTTAATTGATGGAGCACGAATTTGCAAAATAAGACCTGCTTTTCCTGGCAATGCCCAGACTGTCTTTTGGACCACAGCTCACTCTGCCTGATTCTGACCCACGTGCTCCGGCTCCTTTGCCCCCCAGGACTCAGGCAGAAGGGTTTGCAGAGTGCACGGGGCTGTCAGGGGCTCCAGTGCAGGGACTGCTGACTCAGGGAGGCACTGCAGCGGTAATTCATCTCTACAACTCAGCAGTGCCAGCTCAGCTAAACGGGGAGCTGTTTTGACGGAGAAGGACAGTAGGGTTTTTTTTTTTCTTTTCGAATTGTGGTGCTGCAGAAGACTCTTGAGTCCCTTGTCAATCCAAAGGAAATCAACCCTGAATATTCATTGGAAGGACTGATGCTGAAGCTGAAGCTCCAATACTTTGGCCGGCGAAGAGCCGGCTCATTGGAAAAGACCCTGATGCTGGGAAAGATTGAGGGCAAGAGGAGGAGGGGGCGACAGAGGAGGAGATGGTTGGATGGCATCATCAACTCAGTGGACATGAGCTTGAGCAAACTCTGGGAGATAGTGAAGGACAGCCTGGTGTGCTGCAGTCCATGGGGTCGCAAAGAGTCAGACACGACTTAGTGGCTGAATAACAACAAGTACACATTTATTCCATCTCCTCTGTTCTTCGTAAGGCATGAGCTGGCACCCTCTGCAAGATGGAATCTAATCGTGCTTCTTCCTCCACACCCTTCCCCCACCCCGCCCACCCTTCTCCCATTCACCATCCTTTGAATGTTCTTTGAGTAACCACTATCTTCCAGGAGTATTGGTGGGTCTTGGAGGTAAAGGATGACATGGGTGACGCCCTGCTCTCATGGAGGTCAAAAGTCACAACTATGCAGAGGTGCAAAGGAAATGAAGACACATATCCATGCAAAAACTCATACCTGAATGCTTACAGCAGCGTGATCACACTGGAGACAACCCAAATGTCTATCAAGTGATGAACGGATAAACAAAACATGGTCCATCCACAGACTGGAATATTATTCAGCTTCGAAAAGGAGAGAAGTGCTGACACTGACTACCATGTGGAGGGACCCTGAGAACAGGATGCTTGGTGACAGAAGCCAGATGCAGAAGGACACACAGGGTGTGATTCCATTTATATGAGACGTTGAGAACAGGCAAATCCATAGACATAGAGAGTGGGTTTGTGGTTGCCAGGGAAATGGGGAGTGACTGCTAATGGGAATGGTTTCCTTTTGGGGTGATGGAATGTTTTAGAACTAAATAGAGTTGATGGTTGCACAACAGATGAGTTGTGCATTTAAGATGGCAATTTTTATATTATGGAAATTTCACCTCCATTTAAAAAAGCAAAAAACAAGGTTCAGATTAAGTCAGAAGGTTTTAAAGAGGCATCTTTCTTTCAGGTTGAGATAAGACAACTCACATGCCCGTTTGATGTACACGTTGCCCTGTCCCTCTGGTCTGTAGCTGACACCCATGCTCTGAACATGGGGAGGGCAGCTGGTAATTCACGAATATGTCCAGGGTTCCAGAGGACAGGAGGCACACCGCCTCCTTGCAAGGTTACCCGAAATTGTGCTCCCAAATTGCAGACTGGCAGCTGATGAACTGCCGCTAGCTCTGTCCTGCCCACACAACATTTCACAACATTTAAAACTCACTGTCAAATCAGAGATGAGACAGAAAAAGTCTGGATTTCAGTCTTTTCTTGAATCAGATCTGCCCTCCTTGTATGGGAACCACCACCAGGAGCTGACTGTCCGCCACCCCTGCTCACCTGGCTGTTGGAATTTCCTTCTAGTTCCTTTTCTCATTGACTCTGCCTTCCCTGCACCCGTCAGTTTGAGGCTGAAGTCCTGTTGTGCTAGAATCAGCTAGAACTGTCATTTACCCCATGGCAGGACACTCCCTGTGTTGAAATATTGCCATCTTGTTGAAATGCATCATCTTATTTGCTCCTCACAGCATGCCTACGAGGCAGGGGGAAGACTGTTTCACAGAGGAGGAAACCAAAGTTAAACCAGGGAGAGCAGGGAGGGCTGAGCTGTTTCTAGTGGCTGAGCTGAGTCCAGTCACTGCCCACTACTGCCCCCTTGTGCCCAGTCTGCACATGTCCACCAGCCCCTCAGGTCCACAGTGCTACAGCTTTCAAGGCCAAGTGTTGTTCAGTTGCTAAGTTGCATCTGACTTTTTGCAACCTTATGGGCTGCAGCATGCCAGGCTTCCCTGTCCTTCACCGACTCCTGGAGCTTGCTCAAACTCATGTCCATCGAGTCAGTGATGCCATCCAACCATCTCACCTTCTGTTGCCTTCTTCTCTTCCTGCCCTCAATCTTTCCCAGCATCAGGGTCTTTTCCAATGAGTCAGCTCTTCACATCACAGGGCCAAAGTACTGAGGTTAATTCCCCAAGCATCAGAAAGATCTCAGCTTCTGCAGACCTGAAACCCCTTCACGAACTCCAAGTGGATCCAGATGGCTGGATCCATGTAGCACCTGCTTTCTGTCTGTGTTGGGAAACCCATGTGAAAAGTGGGGCCCCCCGACTCCACCAGGTGTACAGTGTGGCTTTATCCTTCTGGCATGGGTTGGCTTGCATCCCCTCAAAATGTAACTCAGGTCTGAACTCCCAGTACCTAGATATGTGACCTATTTGGAATAGTTGCAGACATCGTTAAGTTAAGATGAAGTCATATGAGACCCACTGGTGGGTTCATAAGAAGAGGGAAGTTTGGACCCACGCACAGTGGAGAGGGCCATGGGAAGATGGAGGCAGATGCAAAATCAAAACTATAATGAGGTACCACCTCACACTGGTCCGAATGGCCATCATCAAAAAGTCTGCAGACAATACATGCTGGAGAAGGTGTGGAGGAAAGGCAACCCTCCTACACTGTTGGTGAGAATGTAAATTGGTGTAGTCACTATGAGAACAGTATGGCAGTTCCTTCAAAAACTAAAAATAGAGTCACCCTATGATCCAGCAATCCTACTCCTGGGCATATCTCCAGAGAAAACCAAAATTTGAAAAGATATATACACCCTTATGTTCATTGCAGCACTGTTTACAATGGCTAAGACATGGAAGCAACCTTAATGCCCACTGGTGGATGAGTGGATGAAGAAGATGTGGGACATATAGATCACGGAATATT